TTTTTTCGAATCTGAATTGGGGGATGTTCATTTGGACCACCTTTGATTCCAAAAATATGGCGCAATTTGCCCCAACAGCCGACGAAGCAATCAATCTATTGAAAAACTTTTGGTGAGCGCATTATTTCGCGTAGGGGTGGTAAAATCGTTGTTCTATTTTTTGTAGTTTATTGCTGTCATACGACCTCAAATTTGTTTTTGTGGCAACACTACAAGTGAAGAACTTTACCTGAACCACCCTTACATATTTGCTTCTAAAAATCTGTTTGGAAAATATATATGAAAACATTGCGAATCATCAAACTACTAAAATGTTTAGCTAAACACTGCGAATGATAATGCCAATAATCTATTTAAATCTATTATTATTATAAACACAGCCTCCTCAAAGTATCTGGCAAATTTGGTAATCTCTCACTCAAAAGAAAAAAGTTGGTTAGTTTAATTAATAATGTGAGAAATTCTAATGTGTTTCGACATTTTTTAAATGATATTCAGTTAAATATCTACATACTTCAATTTTCCATTGTTCCTTTTCAAAGTCTCAGGTGTGCCACATATCTTTTGTGCGCAATGAAAAGATATGAGCTTGCTGTAGATACTATTATTAGTGCTTATGCATTCCCCGCCCCCAATAAAACTATTATTTTCCGTAAATAACTGTAATGTACCCGTTTTAATCGTGAACCTGCGATAAAGTTAAGGCAAGATGGTGGTACCYGCGCAATACTACAATAGATCCTATACTTAGAATAATATTTATACCTGCCAGATTTCCATAAAGTTTGCCCATTCTACTAGATCAGCAACAATCACACCTTATCTTTAGAGACGAAAGCATTAGTAAATTAAAATGTCTATGAACAAAACTGTTGAGAATAGTCATAAGCCCACCTTGAGCTATACGCTATTTTTGCACCAGTCGCAGTTGAGGATCCGCAAGAAACGATTGGTTGGTCAGGTTTTGCCATTGATACAGTCGAAACTTTTAGTCACAGACTCATTAATATCGCAAACAAAAGTTCTTAGTGATTGGAACTATGAAGATCTCATGCACGAAAAGATTTACAGCAATCGTTTAAAATTGGCTTTATTCCGGGTCTTATCGCAAAATAATTCGATATTAATGCAGAAAAAGAAGAAAGATTTCAAACTAGCAGTAACAAGAGGAAGAAAGGATGACGATGAAGTAAACAACATTAAGCGACAGAAATTAACCAATAACCAAGCAATGAGAGAAATTACTGATATTAAGAAGAAATTTCAAATGAACGCCGACAAAAGTTTTGAGAAGAGTCATAAACCCACTTTGGGCTATACGCTATTTATGCACCAACTGCAGTTAAGGACACCCAAAAAACGCCCCTTCGGACCCTGTTTGCCAATAATAAAATCGAAACTCTTAGTCACAGACACATTAATCTCGCAAATAAAGGTTCAAAGTGATATGGACTATGAAGCTCTCAAACAGGAACAGATTTTCAGCGATTTTTTGAAATTGTGTATGGTTCGGATTTTGAATAATTCGAGGAAGGAGAAACAATTCAAAGTAGCAGTGATACGAAGAAGGGAGGATGACAATGAAGAAAACACCCCTAAGCGACAAAGATTAACCAATAACGAAGCGGCGATAGAAAGTACTGATTTTAAGAATAGAAAAAGTTCACACAGCGCTTAGTCTATTTGGATCACTATTTTATTATGTCTAGTATTTAGGAAAAATTTTATGTCACATGTTATTTGTAAAATTTCTATTAATAAATATAAATATTGACTAATGATGTAACATAATAAATTTGTAAAATTTCACTTTTAAGTTTTCAAAATTTTCTCTTTTATAGTAATTTAACCAAACCAGTTGATGCTGAATTTAGAGCTTCAATGGTCTTTCTGAGTTTTTGTGTATAGGTATATAAGCAGCCTTCTATGGGTACCTTATGGCAATAATATCTATCTATATCATTTCTATTAGTTGGTTTATAACTGTTTGTTAATGAGATACAGCATTTTTGTGAAGCAACTTGTTAGTTTACAAAAAAAATGGTTGATTAAGTTGAATTTGGGCTTAGGGAAATCCACCGTTGAAAAAGTATTTGCTAAGCTGGAAACAGGCGAGGACAATGATGCTCTAAAGAGGAGAGTTCATAATCAAACAAAAACAACAAACAACTGAGTCTGAGGAGTGTTTGAGTGATGTTTATCTTAATAAAACAGAATTTTTGCGTCTGTGTGTGACAAAAAAACATACCTTCATCATTTCCCTCTGGAGTCCAATCGACAGTCATTCTAGTGAAAAAGTCGGCTGGAAAGGTTATGACATAAATCTTTTATGGCCAGTATTCTGGACGAGTATGATACTCGGTCGAGAGAGTTGCGTTGGCGAGTAGAGGTTTACACGTATTTTGTGCATCTAGTTAGACAGTGAAGTTTTTCAAAGTTTTATTTACAATGTTTGGTAGAAAAAGACATTTTAAAAGAGTTTCTAATGAAGTTCTATCGCATCTCATAAAAGAGTATTTGCCATTTCAATTCTTTCACAGTACAAAATTCAATTGAAACTAAATAAACAACATAAAAATAGACCGAGTGGCGAGTGAAGACCGAACGCATGTTCACAGGCAACGAGCGAGTCAGTGATTTGCTCAGAAGGGGCAAAAGAGTGAAGAAAAAAGAAGCACTCCGCCTAGTAAGCAAAATGTAATTCTAGTCACTCTCTCGCCACTATACTCGCCAACTGACTCGGTTCATTACTCGCCTTACTGTTTAAACGAAACGAGCACTCGGCCGAGTCACTGTCTCGCCGCTCCACTCGTTACGTGTGATCAAGGCATTAGGATGCATGTGATATAATACATACTCAACGACTGATTACTGAGCCAGTTATAATCTATTTCACTGTGTACTTCGTTGCAGTTCTTTTCTACTATTCCAAATACTTAGCAATTGTATTATTTTTGAGAAATCTGTTTAAAATTGCACGCACATATTAAAATGATTCCTACAAACATAAATGAAGTAGCTTGATGTCTTCTCTATTGAGGGAAGATAACTGTATTCCTAATCTTAAGGGCACAATTCCCAAGTTCAAAACCACTACAGTAGTCGGTAGTCTAAATCCAAGCTTTGGGAAGATCTCCTTACAAGCGACTCTCCCTTCAACTTTCCCTTCTAGTTTTGATTGGTGCGAGAAAAAACTCACTGTACCTTTTTTCTAGCAACTCTTCCCCGGTCACAAATCTTTCGTCAGCATATGAGCTACCAGGAGTTGTCTATGTGATGAATTGTCCAAGTTTCTAGAGATGCAATTGAGAGAGGAGTTAATTTCTGTTGACACACCCAGCACTTTTGAATGCCATTAAGTGCTGATTTCGATATGGGCTGCAGTACACTGCAGATACCGATGAGAGCCGCTCTTTAGATATGTTTAAGTTTTTTAGCGAACATGACCACATAACCTTTTCGAGCGCCTATGCCAGATGAATACAATGTAGAAGATTATTGCCATTTTCCAGATTTAAACATTATTTTTTTTTAAGTAGGGCAAAGCATTAAAAACGAGAGTAAGGAACTTTAATAGGCTAAACCTGACCTACTCCCTCCTACAGACTCTTCCACGGAACCACCTGCCAAGGAGTGATAAGACATTTAAGTCTCCTCTATGGCACGGACTGGCGAACGCCTATTCTGATCTAGATGTCTCAGTTTTGTCATGATGAAGCTTTCGAGTTCTCAGTGGACTGACACATGAGTGTCGTCAAATTTTCCACCGTAAAACTATCAGTGTACATAATTTTAAATTTTTCCCTTGTACTTACAAAGCGAGAGCAATAAAATAATACATGCTCAGCGTCTTCAAAACATGTCAAACACGTCGGACAATTCGGACGAATGTCGTGATGGGATCTGTACAGATAGCTTCTAAAGCACCCATGTCTACTTAGTAATTGGTATAGGGATAAATCCAGGTCGACATGTCGTCTGTCGATCCACGAATGGATGTCCGGTATCGGTCTGATGGTCCTCCATCCTTTGAGTTATGTTTGCCACCGCTACTGTCATATTGTTAAGCTTTTGACGCTCTCGTCTCTTTTGGCTTCTATAGATGACTCTGTTAACTTGTATATATATATTCGTCACCCTGGATGTCAATGGGCATCATACTGGCTATTACTTCAGCAGCATCACATGATATTGTTCGGAAAGCACTGATAACTTATAGTGCGGACAACCTGTTCACTGGGCTTATTTATCTGGCATATGTTTTGATACCTAGCGCTTGGATCCATGTTGGAAATGGATATATAGTACTTGTCATACAACCGATCTCATTACCTTTAAAGTAAAACTCGGCGGCTGGAACGCACACAGTCTTTATTTACCATCATTCTCGATCAGGATTTTATTCGCTTTACCTTCAGTGTATTCTAGGTGGTCCATAAATTTGAGCCTTGAGACTATTATTAGAAATATACTTTCCTTCACTTTTCTAGTATTTATGAGCAAGACTTCCGTGACATTCGGTATGAGTTGGATGTTGTTTGTGCAAGGCATGGATATGTCATGTTATTATTATTTACTTGTTTTCGCTTACAAATATAATTAAAACTAAGTTCAAGTAATACAAAAGATATTGGAATATTCGTTTATTAATAAAAAAAACAAATTTTCCTTTTTAATTTCATGCGACCCTCTCGTTATTCACCAATGCCAAACCACCACACTCACACACCACTCTATTAAACGTTCGACATCCGTTCACGCGGAAATGCTACCAAACGATGATAATGGCAACGGAAATGCCAAACTAAATATCCGCCGACGAAACTTTCCGCAACGCCCCTACTGCTGTGTCGGAAATTGAAAAACACAAAAATGGAAAATGGAAAATGCGCCACCACAACCACCTCCGTCAACACCGCCACCAACTGTGCTCGCGTGCCAAAATTCAACGACACGACAACACACGCTTGCTGATTTTCAAAATTTATGCTTGCGCACAGATACGCCTCTCCTCGGACAAACTGAGTTTTGATCTAGTGCCCGATTTGGGCAGCAACCTCACCTACTCAACGGTGATAAGAGTGAATAGAGCCACCTCTTGGCATTCCGTTGAGTTGGACTACAAAGCGGGCGAAATCACTTTCACCGTTGACTACCATCTGCGACAGAGTCAAATGTTCGGTTTGACTTTTAATATCGGTGATAAGTTAATTATAGGTAGCAGTCTTAAGTCGGCCGCCTCTGGGCTGGTCGGCTGCATACGTGACATCGAAATAAATGGTCATCTCATCGAGCCACGACATGTTGTGAAGACGGAACGTGTGGTAGGCGAGGTGGCGTTGGATAATTGTAATTACATTGATCCGTGCAAACGGCCGAATACTTGCGAACATGGCGGCAAGTGTTTCGTGAAAGATGATCGTGTCACATGTGACTGCAAACACACCGGCTATATCGGCAAGAACTGTCACTTTACGAAATACCGCAAGACTTGCGAGGAACTGGCGCTGCTTGGATACACCAAATCTGATGTATATCTCATCGATATTGATGGCAATGGTGTTTTTCCACCGGCGCATGTTAAGTGCGACTTCCAGAGCTTGGAGAATGCTACAAAAACTATTGTCGAGCACAATCTGCCGAGTCAAGTTGATGTGCGTTCGACTAGCGAAAGTGATTTTAGCTATAACATTCGTTATCGTGAATTCTCACCAGACATGTTGCAAGAATTGATCTCACATTCTTTATATTGTACGCAGTACATCAAGTATGACTGTTATAAGGCGCCTTTGGAGCTGCACTCGGCAACTTGGTTCACTTCGTCCGCCAAAAATCTGACTGTGGATTTTCTCGGCAACGCAAAACGGTATGTTTTATATGATAAGTATATATAGTACAATAATAATTCTGAAAGCATAGTGATTTCCTTGTGTCATGTGCCGGAAAAGACATATCTCCACATGGTGATAATTTAGTATACAAAGAGGGCAAGGAATTAATTATTGTATGTTTTTTTAAGGAACTAGGAAACAGCTTCCACCGAATTTCAATAATTTTTTTTATAAAACTAACGGTCCGATTTTTGTACCCTGTGCAAGTTATACTTATTAAGTTTGCTAGCCTCTAGGTGTTTCGAAAAAATTAAAAAAATTTTTCGCGGAATTTTTTAAAGTTTGAAAAGCCAATTTCATGAATATATGATGGATATTTTTGAGAAACGAAAATTTGTTGATGAAATTTTAGTGTGAATGAAAAAACGAAAATTCCTATGTTAAATGTATGGGAACCTACAAAAAAAATAGCGACCGCTTAGAGTTAAACTACAGCGCTTCGCTGAGGGAGGACTTTTTGTTTGTCATTCACTAACATTTGAGGTGGTAAGAGTTAAAAAATAATTCAAAAAAATTTTTTAAGCACCCTAATATATATATACCCTATATACATATATAGGCATATACGAGCTGAGTCGATTTAGCCAAGTCCGTCTGTTTGTATATAAATATATCTCAACTAGTTCCTCAGTTTTTGATATATCGATCTGAAATTTTGCATACGTTCTTTTTTCTACAAGAAAGTGTTTATTTGTCGGAACCGCCAATCGACCTACTACGGCATGTAGCTACCATAACTGATCAACTACCAACAACAGTGTTCAGGAGATCATTCTGGTCCAGGGTAAATCGGTTTAGAGAACTCTTCGCTATCATCAAGGTCCATCTTTCAAAGATTGTAGAAATTCTAACTGAACGCTGTCCATTCAGCATTCATGCAGTAGGACTGAACTTTTTAACGGATGATAATCCATCTATCTTGTCTGTTTGAAAAAAGATGAGATAGAATTAACTTTTCCTCCTCAAATGCATTTATTTTACCATATCAAAAACACTTTCTTCAACTTTTTTTGCCGTTCTTCCTTTTCGCTGTATGGCGCCAATTGGGTATTCCAAGTTTAGCTAGGTTCTTCTTCACCTCACCAACAGAGTGGAGGTCTTGCTTTTCTTTTGCTTCCTCCGGCGGAACCTCAGCGCTGAACTATGTCATTAACGTCGCATAACTCGAATAGCTCATCGCTCCATCAACTGCGGTATTCGCCCTTTCCAATGCGCAAATGACCATAAATCTTTCGCAGAACCTCGAAAACTCGTAACATCGACTCATCAGGACAGGAATAATGAGTGATTTATATAGTTTTGTTTTGTTTTTTTTCGTCGAGAGATAACTTTCTTCTCAGTGGCCTACTAAGTTCGAAGTAGCACCTGTTTGCAAAAGTTATTCTGCGTTGGATTTCGATGCTGACATTTTTGTTGATGTTATTTCTGGTTCCAATATAGACGACATTAGCTACAACTTCGAAGATATGACTGTCAACAGTGACATGAGAGCCAAGTCGCGGGTGTTCCGCTCTTGCCAAACCAAAGCAAAAATACCTTGAATCTCATTTTCGACAACCATATGAAATAGCGGGTATAGAAATAAAACACCTAAGTAGATTTATGGTAAGTTCTGGGCGATAGGTGATATCAACCAAAGGAGCTTTTTCATATGGCTTCACAAAGGACTTAACAGTCCAAGTGTGATCTCCAGCGCTAGACATCAGCCATTTAATACAGAATATAATACCAATAAATTGAGATTTCATCAATATTCACAAAGAATGTTAAGAATTTCTATAGCAACGTCATAAATAAATTGTCAAAATCGTTATATCTGTATATTGATTGGAGGCATCAAAATTCATAGGTCATAATAACCATATTCCGGGGGATGGATAGTATATTGTATTTGCAGTGTTTAGAAATGTTCCAAAAAATTAAACTACTCTCATACCGCTACCTTTCCTTAAGAATATTGAAATTCCAAAAGTAATAACCTACAACACTTCCCCTACTTTTCATTTCAAGACTTAAATCAACTGAATGGTGTGCGAGTAATCAACAAACTTGCCCCCACATTTCAGTGTTCACATGACCATTTCAACAATATTGACAATAGTACAGTTTGCTGCCACAACATTTCACTACCAGCAGAAGTCGTAATTTAATGTTTGCTTGACATTTGTAGGAAAACAAACATTGCACAGTCAGGCTGACTGACATTAACACAGACAGTAGCATAGACAGCCGCACAGACCTTAAGCGCTAGCACTTGATTATTAATATAAACTGACTGTGCTCCAATTTGCGTCTTGTCACTCATGCTGCAATGCCCGGGAAGCAAATTGTAAGGCACTGAGCGACAATTTCACTTGACTTTGTGAACGTGCTCAACCTCACGCCCGCAACCCCTTCCCGCATTGGAGCACCCGACCGGCAAGCGACTATACTCGTTTCTTCATTTCACTCGCATTATGTTCACATACTTATATGAGAATGTATGCATATGTAATTGCATGCGAATTCATGTGTCAAGCAGCAGTGAGCTATCAACGGCAGAATGCCACAAGTAGTGCCAACACTTTTCCATTCACTCAGTTGTCTCCGTCGTTGGTCATCGTCTGCAGTAGTCTATGAATACGAGCGAGTAATTTCTGTCAGCAATGATGCCAACTAGAGATGATTTGTGTACTGACTCAACACGCAACAACACTAATAAACACACAACTCTATTGGATAATGACAACAGTCGTAATCACAATTGTAATGCCAACATAGAAAGTGGCTGAGAGAGTATGTAAGAGAATGACAGCGGGAATAATAACGTGACACTTGACAGACATTGTAAAATTACATAAGAAAATTACGATATTAGCAGGGAAATGTATAACACAGTCACTTAAATGTGATATTCGAGCTTTAAGGATCAAGGGTGGAGGAATAAATTTCACTAAAAACAAGAACCGAAGCTATAATACCCTTCAAAGGTAAAAAGATTTTTTATAAAATTTATCGGTCAGTTTTTAGAGCAGCTATATGCTATAGCAAGCCGAACTAAATTCTTCGAAGATTGCACTATTGATATTGCGGAAAAAAATTAGCCCTCTTTTATTGAGCCCACTCTTAACTGAAAAAGTAAAATATACTGTTAGGTGCTTGTGAGTCGGCGTGATCCTCATTTGAAAACATGGATCCCAAGTCCTTTATCCTGCCTCCAAGGATTAGGTTCCTGAAGCCGCGCAGGGATCTACGTCTCGTAAACGGGAAGATGGTCGTTTTCGAGCCAGACTAACCCCACCGCACCATTCTTAACCTCTTTGTATTTAGTCGCAGAGAGTGTCGTCGAATTTGCCTCTGGATATAATAACAATGTCATCTACATATTCTTGACGACAGCGAATAGCATTATCAGTTAGCAATACTAGTAGGCCATCCACGACCAGGCTCCATAACAGAGGGATAGCAATCCACCCTGCGGACAAAATCTTCTAGTGCCGAGATGAATCCTATTATCTATTATTGTGATTTCAGATATTATGTTGCCCATTACGGCTTCTATTTGGCTATACTCTTGTTGGGACGCTGCCTTACAAGCTATATTAAATTACTCTAAGCTCTTTACTAATTTTTCGTTCATATCCACTACTTGTGGAGTGGAATATTTACAATGTCATGGAATTATAACTACTACTGTTGAATATCGTCAAAATTTAAGTAATTTAATTGATGAGAGACATATGAGCTAGAAAGCCTTATTATACTCTCGCACTTCCTATTAACTTATAAATTTGGCCAGCAACAGTCTATTATATACAAGCGGATATTTTTCATGTATTTCAGACAATGTCAAACAGCCAAATTTTTCTATTGTGCACTAATTTAATGTTTATTTTTGAAATTTACATGGTTATTGCACACTTGGAACGACAGCGGTGCTTGCCCTTGCTCCATCAATAAAACATGTGTGGACCCAAATCAATCATGCAACTGTGATGTAAAGGAAAACAAATGGTACTCTGATGAGGGCTTTTACAATGAGCCGCACAGCCTTGGCATAACGAATATGTACTTCTTGCAGCAAAAGGACTTGGAGGAGGACTCACAAGGGCGTATTACACTGGGGCCATTAGAGTGTGTGGAAACAAGTGAGTTGAAGAAGAGATGAGAGCTTTAAATAACGCAATTTAATTTATATTTTCATTGAACTGTATTTTTTTCGGATACCGAATTTACTTACTCTCTTCGCTTTATTTCTTTACTTTTTCACTACTCACAGACACCCAAAAGTATGTTGTCACTTTTACCACATCGCAGTCGTACATCGAAGTGCCCGGCTGGCGGAAGGGCGATATTGCCTTCTCCTTCCGCACCACCGGCGAAAAAGCCATTCTACTCTTTCAGCCACCCATTCGTCCGAACCATCCATCCTTTATGGTCGCGCTCACCGGCGACTATCAGCTGACATTCAATTTCACCCTCAGCACCGGCACGACAAGAGAGCTAGTAATTAACTCGCATCGCAAACTGAATGGAGGTGAATGGCATAAGATTTGGATCGACTACAATGAGTATCACGTGCGCTTTATGATAAATACAGACTATCAAATGGTTGATCTGCTGCCGGAGGAGGAATTCGGACCATTCGAGGGCAGCATGTATATCGGCGGCGCCACAGCGTAAGTAAAAATACACGTATTGCTTAAATAAACTTTTTTCCACATATTACTCTTCCCAAAATATTTGAACACAGATAAAAACTTAAACGGTACAGCGCCAGCGCTTGCAGCTCGCTTCTTCTACTATGAAATTTTTTACTGGCGACTGTAATTATTATCCTTCCATTGATTTATTATGGAAATTTGTATTTAATTATTATTGCGAAGGAAAAGAAAACCGGAAAGAAAAACAGACGCGCAGAAAATGTAAATATGGTGCACTCATCCCAAGGCAACACTTTGTTCCTACATTTTTACATATATTTAAAGAAAGCGACCACAAATGGCTCGCTTCGGCAACGTAGACGTTACCCTTGCCGTTGAGCACAACACGCCATACCAATTTGGATTTATCGATTTAATTGGAGTTATAATGTATGCCATTAACTGTGAGCCCATTCAGTCAAAACTGATTTACGCAAATGTGGCAGACAGGCGCTCCGTCAGCAAATTTATAGGCAACTACGAGCTGCGCAAAGTAACGCTAGCAAATTTACATACATACTTATGATATGTGTGTGGACTAGCATGTTACGGCCCTGAAATGCACATTCAATACATCCAGCGTTTCTTGCATTTCTCTCAAGCGCCTGGGGAAAAGGCGCAAATCAATCACCTTAACGACTCCTTAATTAACAGCGAACACTTTTGCAATCTTTTTACAATTAATCAACTCGACTTTTCACTACCTTAATTTTTATTAATAACACTCATTTACGATGGCGGCGTCGGCAACTGCACGCTCTGCTCATTGCTACGAACTTGAATATTCGAGAGTATTTGCATTCACGCATAATCCACTTCAAACTTAAGCTGCAGCTACGGCGTTATTTACAGCTATATCGGTATATATTTAAAGGGTATGCTTAAATGCATACATATACCATATAGTATACCAATGAATATCCTGTAGGTAAAAGCACCGACTGCCGAAGTTGACTCAAAACTTAGAATTTACTCATAAGTTCAGAATTTAAAGTTTGCCTCTCAAAATATAGCAGAGTTAACAGCAGTCCGCCAATCGTTTCTTCTTTTTGTCGTCGGGTCAGCACTTCTCCAAGCTTCGATATATCTGATAAAAGGGCTTGCAAACCTACAACTGATTTTGAACCTTATAAATAAAGGTTAATATATCTGTTTATAACGTCACTTGGTACATATTATTAGTTAATATGTACGATATCTTAGTAGAAATAAGTATATGTGCAATCTTGGAAAGATTTGCGTGGAAACAACTTACTTTAGTTTAATAATGAAGGAAAATGCTGAGACCCTTGTTGAGTAACCTTATACCGAGAATTGTGAAGTTAAGTAGCTATGTTTTATTCATATGAATTAAATCATCCGCCTTTGGTTATTTCTATATTTATCGCTATAGAAGACATCTTAATACAATCAAGCGAAAATATTTCAGCTAATTATATCCTTTGGTTGTAAGAATTATAGATTTTGGGGTATAACCTCGACAACACGTCATTGTTTTTTGAACTGAATAGATGTGAGCATATACTGGTACCTACACTCCTTTTCTACTCACCGTTATTAGCATTTTGAATCAAATATCACCGTTGCTTACACATTTTCCCGCTGGGTGTTTTTATTTTCACAACTGTTTACCGAAGCATATATGTAGGAATGGGCGTTCGCGCTTAATTGTCATGCTCTTCTTTGGCCCTCGATGGTGGTGTTTTAATTCCGACAACGTGTAAATAGGTGAGCCAATCAAGCAATCAATGCATAAGCAATAAAAATCACTGGCGTGTTCAGAGAGTGAAAGATGGTGTGAAGGGTAAGGAGAATATTTCAATCACATTGAAATAAAGTGAGAAATAGTAATGCAATAATGCGCATTTAAGTGTGTTACTAAGATTTATTAAGCACGCAAGGAAGTTCCACACACAACTGCTTGGGTAGAGTACGTCAATGCAATACCCTTAGGTTGTGGTTTATTGTTGAAATTTGCAAAGTTAGATTGAATTATCTATTTAGGGACTATGTCTGTTTTTTAGTCTTACAAATCGTTCAACTTTATTACGAAAATTCAAGTTCTCTAAAGAATGTTATGGTCAACATTATCGGCTTACTGCGCGTACTATTCGCAACACCATCACCCATCTTGAGATCCAGCATTCATTATTGGACAATATCAGTCAAATGTCAGTATAGTAACGCCGAAGAAGAGAATGAGACCCATTCCTGGCTTAATGTGTATATAAGAAAACTTGACGAATTTTAAAGGTCAATAGTCAGGCGGAATATATCAAATTATCTGCCCTTTCTAAGCCTATTTCACCCAATAGTCAGGGAGTCCAAAATCCTTAGACACTCTCTTTCTGAGCCCTAATCTCACTTCCAAATAACCACACTCACTTCCTTCATAACGGAGCGGTTGGTATAAAATAGTGGGAGTAGGATTAAAACTGGTTTACATTCATGGCAATTTCCTCTTATGCATGCATAAGGCAAGGTGTTTTTAACCACACTCAGTTCTCAAAGTACGCACCCAGGAAAACCCTCTCCCACAAGAGATATATTTCTTAAATTCCTACTTTTAATATCGGCATATATTTTAGTAACTTTTTTAATTATTATTTACAATATTGGGCATATAAACGGTATAAGCAATAAAAACAAACAAATTAAATTCTAATTAAAAACCAAAGCTCTCCGAGACCGTTTCCTCTGATTAAGTGGTGCATCTTCTGGCTTCTCTAGCTTAACATCACGTTCCTCCTTTACATCCTCCCTGCGCCTCTTTGTCGCTGTGATTTTTACTTCTGCCTCCTGAAGCTTAACATCAAGTTCCTCCCTTTCATCATCTCGGCTTCTCTTTGTCGGTGTTTCCGTTGTTTTTACCATGACATGCTTTTCATATGACAGACCTAATCGACATTGCCGCAATATCCGCAACATGGAGAGTCTTAAGCGTTGGCGGAATATTTGTTCCTGTTGGAGAGTTTCTAAGTCCGTGAAATTTTCTTGCTCTTTGGTGCGCGAAATTAGTGTGTCAGTGACTAGGAGTTTTGATTTTATCAGTGGCAAACAGGGAACTACAGATATGTGTTTCTTACGATATTTCAACTCACTCAAGTGCACAAAGAGTGTGTATCCCAGTGTGGGTTTGCCACTCTTGTCAAAACTTTTATTGGTGGACATTTTAATATTTGTATGCTTTCGTCGCTAAGATTTCGAAGTGTATGATTGGTCCGATGAAATGCTGCACTTTTTATAGAAAAGGATTCAGGTAAAGCGGACGTATTGTAAATACGTAGGTAAAAATTTCTGTCCTAAAACAAGAGCAGGTAGATGTTTTGTGCACGAACCTGCTTTAGGGTGTTTATGGTAAACAAGTGAATTTTGAAACTAAAATAATAGTAAACAATAGAGCAGTGCTATTTAATGAAAGAAAATGGCATTCTGAGTTCGGTCACAGCTGTTTACTTGTGAAATAATTTTACCGTAGCTAGAATATTCTTCACATATAAAGAAGTTCCTAAACAGTTCTAGTATGAGAGAACCTGGTACCGTAAATCGAACTGCCTTTGACAGAACGAAATGGAGCTGCCTTATGACACTATGTCTGTAAACTGACATTGACAAGACCACTCCGAGGCGTTTGATACTAAACGAGGTTTCAGATACGGCGACTCCCTATTGTGCGACGGCTTCAATCTACTCCTGGAGAAAACAGTTCGAGCTGAAAATCTCAATAGAGAAGTTAGTTCCGGATGGATAGTCTGGATAAGAAAGCGAAGCAATTGCCACTGTTGATAGTCATAATACGTAGTCGTAGATAATTTCGTCTATCTTGAAACATTTACACCAACAACAACGACAGCCTCGAAATCCAACACAGAAATAATTCGTTCCAACTGGTGCAACATCGGACTGAGTAGGCAATTGAGAAGTAAAGACCTCTCCCGATTAAGAAAGACCAAACTCCACAAGTCACTCGTCATCCACGTCTTACTTTAAGGTAGAAAGACAACGACGATGACAACGTCTGAAGAGCCGACGTAGCGAACGCAGCACTCGCCGGTGGAAGCAGAGGAAGACGAAGACCTCCACATCATTGAAAATTGGTGCCAAACAGCGAAAAATAAGAACGACTGGGGGATTTCGGGGATTCCGACAAAGAAGCAGATTCTTGGAAGGAAAAGGACGTATGCAAAATTCCGGAGCGATACCTCAAAAACTGACGGACTAGTTTGCGTATACGACAGACAGACGGTCGGCAGTGTAGCTAAATCGACTCAGCTCGTTACGCTGATCATTTATTTCATTTATATGTATATATATTCATATATTTAGAAGGTCTTCAACGGAATAGTAGTAGTTAAAAAACCAAAAACATTTTTGTTGAATAAAGTGGTTTTAACGGTGTACCGTTACTGCTTATAGCGCCACCGGTAAGCCTTCGCATCGCATGACTCCTGAATTGAAGTCCAACAAAAGTAAGCGATATTGTTGCAATGCTAATTCAGAACATGACATTTGTTGTTGCAGCATTTTAAATGCACATTTTAGCGAAGGCTCTTAATGTACGCGAAAATGGCCGCTCCAGAGCCGCAGCACAATGGCCGAACAACAAAGTTAAATGAAGCGTGCCGCCACATGTTGCTGTCAGTGCAAAAAGCGCAAACACTTTTTGGCAACGACAGCGGAGCTTTTAAATAAAATAGTCGTTTATGCGAATGCAGCTACGACACGGCATGCGTTGCGAGCGGAAGTTGAGGTGAATGCATGCACGCGCGCGTGTGTGTGTGTGTAACATTGGTCACGCATTACGCGGGTATGGCAGAGACCTGCTGCAATGCGGCACAGACCTTCTACCGCTTCCGCTTTGTAACATCCTATATGTGCCATTTTGTTGTAGCTGTTGTCGTTGCTGTTGCTGTTGCCAGCTTTGACGACAACGTCATTGTCGTTAGCGCCATGCCAATAGCTGTCACAGCATGAAAGCGCTTAATTGCTTGTGATGGCATTAAATAAATTTTTAATTGCTTCGCACTTTTCATTCACGCTTCCGACGCTCCCATGGGCGCCGTAACGACGACCTCTTCTTACACATGCACACTTTTTCAATGCCTATACATATGTATTTGTGTGTATGAGTGCCCTTTACTGCTCTTTTATGCTACTCCTTGATGAGTCGATCGTTGGCCGCCATTGTGTGCTTTACTTGTGCGATTCTTTTTGTGTTCGCACTTGATTGCTGTTGTGTCACTTAACATCATGCACCGAATCTATGTATATATATGAATGAGTGTGTGCGTATGCATATCGAAATTTCTCCATTTCCGAAGGTTACGTATACGCTCCGGTGGAACTGTGTAAACACCCCTCCATATGCATACAATTTATTTCGCTCAAGTAATTTGATTTTATAAAGACGGCTTCATTTCGTATATAAGTAGAAGGGGTTAACCGTTGCCCCATTTTATCATTTAATAAACAGATTAAACTAAGATTATTCTTAAATGTTGAAATTCTTGAAAATGTTGTCTTAGTACAGTAAAATCAGCTGCAACATTGATAGGATTTGAGGAATTCTCTACTAAAATCTTCGGACATATGTAAGCAGAAGGTTAGTGGATAAAATAGAAAATCTACTCTCATGCTTTTTTTTTGTTGAGAGAGAATGTTTCAAGTGACACTAAAAGAGAGCGAATGACGCAGAGGCACGCGACTCATCAACCCGACATTATAAATGAACGGAACAATAATGGCCATTGGAGTGGGCGTCGGAATCTATACTCGAAGTTGAATATAATGCGAACCATCAAATGAAATAACTGTTGGTACAATGAAAATTATAAAGGGCTGACCGACTAATCAAGGCGAAATGGAATGTCTTAGGAATATGTAGGATCGGCAATATCATGTGCTAGAGCTTCGAAGAAAAACAGCGGATGATACAATAAAATATTTGAAGCAAAATCTAATAAGGAGATCTAAGTAAACAGTCAGTTCCACACAGTTAATTTTCGGCCCTTCAGTGGCGCTTCATGATTTTTTTTCTGTAAACTATATTCGGCTCATTCGTGTCTTAAGGGTCCCTCCACAAATTTTTTGAATACAAAATCTTTGATATTCTGCCTTTGGGAAACAATTGCCCGATGCATCTCGCATATGCATTTGTCGGACGGCGGGTAGGATGCAGGCCACAATTTATGTTGAATACAAAAAGTTCAAAAAGATTCATATTTTTTAATAATTTATCTTCTAGTTAAACTAAAAAAAATTTCAAAAACGATTGTAATATTTTTGTATAAATTGAAAGAAGTGGTTTTTGACCAAAAAAATTTTACTTTATGTTGTTTAAAAATATGTTCAAACTTGACTTTTCTTAGTTTTTCAGTTTAAATAGAAGATAATTTAATGCCAAAGATAATAAACTTTGCCCGAATTCCATACGATGTTTAGTTTTTTCTATCCTGCCCTCCAATTAAGAAAAATCGTAAAAATTATTTATTTATTTATTTATTTATAAAAACGTGAAACAATAATACAATTACTTTTCCACGAAAAAAGGAGCACTGGCTGCCAGGACCTTCGGCCATTCGTAAAAATTACAAACCGAGAAATCTAGCGTCAAAGTTTTCGCTTTCTGCTCAAGCGCTCATATATTTGCTAGACGTTCGGTCACTATTTCCCTTCTAGCTTCGAAAATATTTCGAGTTCTCATCTATAACTTTGGGGGACATATTCTTAGATTTTTTTTAAAGAGAGCAAACTAAAAAAATCGAGTTTTTGAAGCTTCTAAAGCAGGCTCTCCCCTTAAGGGGTTGTATGGGTTTCCTCGGGAAAAAGATAACCTTTTTCAATAATTTTTTTCTCATATAAAAAATTAAATATTTTATTACAATTTTTTATTGTTACAAACATACACTATTAACAGAGAAACTCTGAAATTTTTGAAAAAAAATTTTTAAACTCGGCCATTGCGACCGAATCAATCCTGGTCACCCCTCGCAAAAAATGCACCCGCGTTGGCAGAATAACTCCTCACAGCATCAACAAAAGTGAGATAATACGTGTATCAGATAAAACCTTAACTTAGAACTTTTTTGACAGACATTTCCCAAAAAGTTGTACTCGAAAAAAATCCTTTGCATAAGTCCTTATCAATTTTGTCTCAAAGACCTGTGTAAAATATTATAAGGATATGTTGAGTACATCTCGAGAAATCTTGCCAACCGACTTCAAAGGCATAGTTTTAAGAAAAACGCGTTTAATGACGGCTCACTCTGCCTAGCTAGCCTCAAGCGCATAAGTTCTCAAGACTGTATCTCCGAAACTATTACTCGGAACAACTTGAAAATTTAGAACAATATTCGAGAGATAGAATTTAAAAAGATTTAATGAGCTAGACAGTAGTTCTCAAAGGTTCAATCTAGTTTTAATTTTTCCTGGAATAAGTCCTCCAAAACCATGGCTTTGAAGAGTTATCACATTACGAGATACTGAAGTGATAACATCGAAACTATTCAGGCAATAAATAATAAATTAGTTGAGGCACTACGCTGCGCCAACACGACCTCTCACGGCATAATGTTATGTAAGGTGGCAATCACTACACTTTTTGTGAAGAACTCAGTCTACATCATGTGAGCACTATAGAAGGAATTGAAAATGATGATTGGTGCGGCCGAGAACGCAGTTTACATATATAATACGTCTAATACTGTTCAGCTCTAATGAGGGATGTGTGAAACAATGGATGTTAGAATAATTTACTGGCGAAACACGAAACAATTTGAAGGTAATGTGGATGGATCAAGAGTTGCAACAGGCAATGGATGTTAGAAGAATATACAGGCGAAACTTTGAGGTTATGTGGATTAGTTATCGGACTAAATGGCAACCAAGTTTTCCAACAAATCTAGGTATAAAGCCATTCCTATCATATTTTGTGCTTATCTTCGTAGGTAACAGGTTAATAAAGTATCATGAAGGATAAGTACAGGTATAAACCACTAAAATTAAGCACTCTTTAACAGTGGTATGTATACATATGTATTTACCAAATATTTAGAAAAAATTCGATTTTGTGCTCTATTGTTGCATGTGCAACATACAAGCATACTTGAATATGTAGACAATCAACATTCCTTGGGCGATGACTTTTGAATTTGTTTCGAAAAAATTGAGAATCTGCACTTTGCCTCACCTTTCACTCCAATCAAACTGACTGCAGGAGTATGCGACTTAACTTGAATCCAATCAACTAAGCAAATATTGTGTGCTTTTAAAACATCATCATTTACATGGACGCTTTGTCATTCGTGTATTCTTTTTCCTATTGTTTTGGAATAATTTTCATCGCCACTTGCTTTTATACCGCTTTGCATAAATGACGAGAAATACTCAACTAAACAAGCAAGTATTTGTCCTTCTTGTCAGTATTGAAATATATGTACACATATACATGGAGCTGTGTTTGCATAGAGGAGTCAGGCTGTTGCTAATGACTTAATAGGATGTTGCCGCTACGGTCAGTTGGCTTTGGCTGAGCAGACTGTCGAAAGTTGTTGCTACTTTTTATGCACACGATCTTTTCGAACATGTCTGCAAATATATTTACTCACAATCACAAATAAAAGGAAAATTGCTTTTCCAACGGCTTTTTATAGGGTGTTGCTTTTAGGTGTAAAACAAATATTATTTGAAATAATAAAAGTAATGAATCTTGATCAAAAAAAACTCGTCGAGATCACGAGCTTCAATTTCAGGCATCAAATAGCATGATAATCATAACGCGATAACGGTCGCTATTGCCCGAAAATGACGAATCTTCTTGGAATTTTTTAAGAAACCATAAAGCAAAGCGATGTTGCTAGAGAATGTCGAGTGGATTCAGCTCTTGCACAAGCTTTATTTTCGCTTCCAATTTAAGATATCGACGTAAAATGCCCCAATGTCGTTCCATACGTTAGTCTGAGTCTATTATATTTAATAATTCAGGGATGCTTTTAAACTTGAATGATAATAAATATGTCGATAACAAAAATAAAATTTTCTATAACATAGTCAAAAAACATAATTATCAATCAAAATAAAAATATATGTTGACTTTGTTTCATAATATTTTCGAAATTTTTGTAAAATTGATTTATTTTTAACTTTTTCGTGTTTGAGTTGCTTACAAAATATAAAAAAATTACAATCGATTAATATCTATGATGATCTCTATTCAGTATATTAAAAATGGCAGACAAGAGTTCTTTTTGGTTTTGTGACTTGCTAACTACCAGGTCTCAAATTTGAGGCAATATTTTGAGGCTAAAGCTAGAGACTGTTTAGTGAATAGTAACTAATCACAAATTGAGATTTTACCACAAAATGGCTCAAATAGAGACTAGATGCTGGTTACAGAATCCCACTATTAGTGTTAACTTTAGTTTGCCATATCCCAAATGTCAAGACAGAAATGTCGAACCCACACTGTCGACTTTGGCAGCTGTTTTGACAGCGATCTATTTAAGAAATTCAATACTCCTGATGAAGGCTATAACGTTAAATATACACCCTAATAAACACCCTCTATATGCCATATTTGCTTGTGTAGCTGCATTCTCAAGTTAAATCGTTGACAGCAATTTGATGGCAGCTTAAATTTATTTACTTCCACTGTTTATTTGTAGTTTTTGCGCTAGTGAAGCTTCTTTTTCTCTTACTGCTCTTTGCTGTGAACTCTTCGTTTGGTTTGTGTGTTTCAGTAAAACGCCGAAACAGTATAGTTAATGGAATTGTAATTTCCTTTAGTGTAATCTGCTTTTTATACTTACATAAAATTCAGAGTTTGTGTTTAATAACGATTTCTTTCACCAAACGTTTTTATTGAAATTTCTTTACAGAAAATCAGTTGTTATAAATTCTATATTTATAGACAAGACATTTTTGGTAATCTATATACAACCAGAGAAGTTTGCACTTCTTAGAATTTGTATATGATTTTTTGCCAGAATCTAGCACAGAATTGCAATATGAAATGTACAAGAGGCATAGTTTTACAATGTTCGCAAATGTTCAATGTATTGGTAACAGAGCCTCCTGTCCCTACATGGGATGAAAAACTTAACTAGAAAAATGTTTAGGAATAAAAAAATATATATTTTTCCAAAACTTTTACAGTAAGATAGGAAGGAGTGCAGCTACCATAGGCTTACGGCTGGAGATACCTTTAATACCGTCAAAAAAAGTAACTTTTTCCACTTTTATTATGGGATAATAAACACAGATCACATCCGAATTTTTTGCATATATATTAAGAGATATTATTAAACTACAAAATAAAAATAATTTTATGTTAAAACAAAACCGAAATAGCGGAAATATCAAAGTTCCCGTTGATTGACATTTTTTCGACATCAAAATTGTTAAACAACTATCAAACTGTCATATTTCTCGGAAAAGCACTCTATCACGCACTTAAGTATACAATTTTCTATAAAATACGCTTTGGCTCATATAAATCGGTTAAAAAGTTCGTTCGCAGTTTTGACGGGCGGATAAACAAAGTTAGTTTCGAGGAAACGAGCTTCAAAGTTTTGGTACCTATACAGTCGCTGCATGAAGTGCACCGGTTCTGGGGTCTATTTCTTTGAAATTATTCGAAGTAAGCCAATGAAACTTCGGGGCTATATTTGCGAATAGTTTTTCAATTGATTAAAGCGGAAAAAAACATTTCTAATTTTTTGAATCTTCTAAAGGTATCTCCTCCCCCTAAACTGCACTGCATGCGTCATTTTTATGCACCATACATAGTAAGATCATTATAATTTTGCTATCTCGTTTTATCGTTCTGCTAGTTCATTTTTACATGAAGTAAAATTGAGTCAAAGGATCCTGGTTTTGTGTAGTAAATAACTATTTGTGTTGTTATTGTTTGTTGTATCGTAATGACTTCTATTGTTCCAAGTTAAGGTTTTTTTGGGGTTTGTGATAGAGCGGAGTATTTACAGACAAAGTGGAAATCAGTTTCCGTATTTGCTTCCATCCATCAGCTGCTGCAAATATCGTTAAAAGACATACCCCTTTCTAGTGCTTGCTCTCCAAAAGTCCAGGCCCTCGTTATAGTAGCTATAGGTATAAATGTACTTGTTCGTACCTCTAGTCTGGTCATACTTGGACCATATCCGCTTGGATATCTTCCAATTTTTTGTTCATTATCACATGTGTTTAATTAATTAAGTGCTTGAAAGGCCGTGATTTGATCGTTTCCAGTCAGATTCGTCTTAAGAGGCACCTAGCTTTGACAACGTATTGTCTTTTTCTTTACTTCAGTAATTATATTTCCAGTTCCGGGGAGCCTCCTCTTAATCCCGCTAAATTATTTCAATACTTCTTTTTTTTCAAATTTGTCAAGATTTCAATATTTTTCTACTTTGTCATAATTAAAAAGCCCTTTCTTGATAAATTATCAAGATGTCAAATGTTCTAGACAACGCTTTTTGTAAACAAAACATTTATAAAAGTAAATTTTTTAGAATGGATGTTATTTTGCTTTTATTGGTTTTGTTAGACTAAGAGGAAGTTCGCAAAATAGTAAACACTTAATTTAAGAAGTTTACGAGATGTTAGTCAAGTTGTTATTATATTATAACCAACGATTACCCTACCCTTTATCACTCATCATTGAACTCCGGACAAAGGAAAATAACTGCTAACAGTTTGGTAACTAGAGTTCCATACAACAGAGCCATATTCCAATATAGATCTAATCAAAACTTTTAGAAAGTGTTTGAGTGACACACGGATCTTTCAGGACTATGTTATCGATATGAAGAATAAAATATTAACTAACTAGTTATCTAGTAAATAGTATTTTATTACATTAGGAGAGGGGAACTCAGATCTTCAAGAAAACCATATTGTCCTACATCTGAAAGAGTATCCACAAATATCACTCGTTATTATACAGAAAAATTTCGTTTGCCCCGTCATCATATAGATGAATTAGCTCCACGTGATAAACAAAAAAATCTCACTACTTGTATATAAAAAACTCTTCTGAAGCTTTACAGTTTATCAAGGTTGATTCAGAATAACAAAAAGCTCTGGACTTGATACAATTCTTGATAAATTGTCAATATTTTGTTAGTTTGTCAAGTATACAGAATATAAGCTTCTTACTGATCTTGAGCTCTTTCAGCTGCAAAAGCTAAAAGTGAGTTTGTCACTCTTTTCAAGATTGGTAACGGTCTGAAATATTAATAAATATGTATTCGTTCATCTATAAAGATATGAATCTCGGCGGAACCATAAACAATCAGCTATTTCTGGTGAAAACCGGGTTATGTTTTGGTGAGTCATGCATATATGAATTAAAGAGATACTATTGATGATGACAAAGGGTTTCACAACTTTATATAATTATTAAATTGTGCATATGTGAGCTTATTAATCAAAAATATTTATTCAAACTATAACTAATTTTCAATAAAATTAATGAGTAGTAAATAATAATTAAAAAGAAAATCCAAAGCTTTTAGTCCTGACTATAAGCGACATAAAATTGTTTTAATCTAGAGCACTTTAAATATTCTTACGTCTTTCTGCATTTTATCTGCTTTCGTTTCATGCCAACAACACTACCAATACACAACCACTTGACACATCAGTGACCTGCTGAAGAAGCTCTCTGTTAAAGCTGGCCTAATTGGTTGCTTCCGCGGCCTAGTCGTCAACGGCGAAATACTCGACATTTACAGTTATATGTCGGTACATCTTTCAGAGATAATTAAAGATTGCAAGCCGTCGTGTGTGCCGTCGCCGTGTAAAAATGGCGCACAATGCAAAGAACTATGGAGTACTTTCCAGTGTGTGTGTAGCAATCCCTGGGCGCACATCGGTGAATTCTGCGAAACAAGTAAGTGTGCTCACTTTGAATCTTTGCTCACTTGAATTGCAATCTTTACGAAATCTAAGCGCTTGTTTGAAATCTTTCTCTCATTTCAACTTCTCCATTTTGCAGACATCAACGAGAAGGCACTTACCTTCATCACACGTGAGTCGTTCTTGATGCGCAATTACATTAGCACACCCGCTGCTACGCCGCCCTTCCTGCCGGCCGCCTACTCCATCTACGGCATCAATGAGGAACGGGACATCATCAAAGGCATACTCGCACAAGACATACTCATCAACTTACGCACTTACGATGCGAATGCGTTAGTCTTATATGCAAACGATCATTACAACAATTTCGTGCACTTGTATATTAGCTCCGGTCGCGAAATTGTCTTCCTCTATAATTATGGCGATGCAATTGTTAATTTGACTATAGTTGATGTGTCCGTGAGTAGCCTGAACAGCATTCAGGTGGCCATTGAGCGTGAGGAGCAACGCACCACGATGCACGTGAACGAGCAGAGCGTGAGCGTGGAGAGAGGCATGATGCTATTGGATGAATACAGCAACAAACCGTGGGTTAATCCGGAGAAAGGTAATTAAGAAAATTTGTGTAAATTTTGACTTAATTGAGACTGGTTCATTTTTCAAAAATGATATCAAGTTTTATACATCATATTAGAAGAACCAGAACCAGAGAGAAACACTACTATTTCTTAAAATCATAGCCTTAATCGATTTGTGGTGAGCCAAAAACGCTTCGTCGTTCTATGAGCTGTTGCACTTTAAGAAATCTTTGAGTAATACAACTGACATGGCCTTGAAGTCATTTAGAGCGCGTTCAGGGTTGATCGAGGAGTGCCTAACCTCGCTAACAATAGCATCGACTGTCTTTGTAATAAGACTGGTATGGGTGCCAAACAATGGCACTCTAGAACCCCTGTCGAGAAAATTTGAGTGGGTCGGTGCTCCGATATCCTGTTTAGTTTTACTACTAGATATCTGAGCTTCGCGAAAGCTTGGCCAGTTTTGGGCCACTATCGGTACATGCGCCTTTGCAAAAGCCTTTTGTCCCAAGATCGATCGCGGATGATCTAGTTATCTCTTTGCCCTCAGTAAAGCTATCCTCTCCCTAGTTGTGAGGCCTTTAACAGGCCATCGCCCTATTGTCATCCATGCTGTAAAGTTAAGAATCTTAGCGGACACCATTTGCAGAAGCTGTATGGAAGAAGATCAGGTGGAAAGAACTCCACACTTCCTTCTTGACTTTCCTGCTTTTGTGAGGTCAAGACTTAAACACTTGGGAGCGCATACCTTCAGACTTCCCACCGAACTGGCGGGAGTGGGAATTAAACACCTGTGCAAACGTGTAGTTGGTTTCTAAGATAAGTTACAAATCCGAACACAGGTTTTTTTTCTATGACTACATACATATATAGCAGTCTATATGGGATCTTCGAACAACCATCTAACCTATTCTAACCCACTCTATTTATAGGATCATACGTATTTCAACGGTTATTTTGGTTTGGTAAGCAAAAACCTTACTAGGGATCACTTTCAATGGTCTATTTAGTCTTCCTTATAATCTTAATCCCACCCTCCACTGATACCGAAATATTACTGAAAAAATACTGACAGCTAATTCAGAATAAAAGTGATGCTCAGCAACAACAGTATTTGAGCGATTTTGAAAATAATTCTGAAACAGAAAGCCGAAACCAAAACAGAAAAGTAACATAATCCATTTTCGACATCCAATGTTTTTAGTATTTGAAAAATTATCAAAATTTTAAGAAAATATTTTCTAGCGTTCCCCTATTTTCCAACGTCATTTCAACGTTCATTTTATGAGCCGGAAATCTTCATTTAACATATTTCCTAACGCATTCCTGTTTTACAGAGGTTCTCTCACCACACCGTCCACCCGCACCGCCAACGGAGTACTTCCAATTTAATATTGGCGGTTATGATCCTGCGAATTTGCTAAGGCCCAATCTGGATGCTCCTGCGCTGCAGGGATATATTGGCTGTGTGCGTGGCCTGAAAATTGGCACAAATCTAATCGACTTGGCTGACATCAACGAACGGAATATTTCGCCCAGTAAGTACACAGAAATGCAATTCCAACACAACTCTACGTATGTATGTATGAATGTATATGTGCAACTGTAAAACTAACACAAATTACACTTGGCGAGGAAATTCAATTTTAAAAAGTCACATACGAAGCTAAGCGGAAGAGATTTGCACTTGTGTGTGACTGCAGCATCGATTTGGTGAAATCGTGCAAGGACATATTGGGAGCGTGCGTTTATGGCAAGCATACATACTATATATTTGTTTCTAATGCTTATGCTCGTGGTATACATGTGGAAATATAACGCTAGGAATTAGTATACGAATTAGAAAGTTAGGGCGGGTTTACATTTTGAAAAAAAATATTATTTTCTCCAATTCGCTGACAACAATATCCATAGAAAAACTTGCAATTAAAAACGGGTATACATAACTTTTGATTAAATTTCGTTCTACCAACACTTCAGTGTTTCTAAATTTACTTATCTCCGATCTTAAGCAGGTCATATATTTTAATTTTTTTATCTAGTAATCTCGTATTATTTAACCTTTATACACCTTTAAATTATGTCTTAAATTATATTCATCAATATTATATCAAATTATGTAGACATAGTGAGCTTTTAAAAAACATCGCATGCTAATAACTGCCTGTAAAGTCAAAAGACTATAGTTTACACCTCCTTTCTAAGCAATAGACCTCCTTCCTTTTGCTCTAAAGTAATATATTTAGATGACGATTTCTTTTTTTTAGACATGAACTTTTCAAGAAAAAATGAAATGCTTGTAGTTTAATATTATGGGCAAGAATTAAGCTTTGTTACAAAGATAAGGATTTTACATTATTATCTAAAACTGAGTTTTGGCAAGTGACCACCGCGGCTGAATCAAATATATTCTAATAAATTCAGTCTTCGTACCAATTGGTACGCCGAATATTCTCTTCGAAGTCGTCAATCGCCTCGGGCTAATCTGCGTGGACAATACCCCACAAAAAAAGCCCAGCGGGTTTAAATCACGCAATCTTGGAGGCCGATCCACAAGCCCACGACGCGATTTAATGAGCTCACCAAAAGTTTTATTCAAAAAATTGTTCGGCTGTATGACATTTAGCATCATCGTTTGAACCAAAGGTCGTCCAGATCAACATCCTCTAATTTAGGAAAGAATTCATTAATTATATAGAGTCATAATTGATTGTAGCATTGATTGTAACATTATAGATGAATTCATTTTAGAAGAAATACCAGAAGGTGATCAATTTCGCGATTTCCCACATTAAAACAGAAACTGTAAATATAATGGGGAATGTTTATTATCATTCGAAAGAACATTCTTTTCCATTTATTTTTTGAAGATTATCTCTTTCAAAAGTTGGCCGCGGCTACATCTCGAATGGTCCATCCGTTGAGTCTAATTTTCGATGACTCGTACGAGCACTTCGACTTCGGCCTGAATCGAAGCGGGATTGTCCGCATAGACATTAGACTTTACATATCGCTACAAGAAAAAGTCGAACGGTGTGATATCTCATGATCTTTATGGCTAATCGACCGGCCTAAAACGTCAAAATATCTGCTCACTGAAGTGTTCTTTCAATAAGTCCATTGACTTATGCGATATGTGGGAAGTGGCGCCGTCTTGTTGAAGTCGAAAGGAGCCGAGATCACGAGCTTCAATTTCAGGTATCAAATGCAAACGGAACAACCCGTGCACCTTTCGTTAGATTCGATCAAAACGCGATAAATGGATGTTTTGGAGATGTTCAACTCCCTTTCCATGAATTTCGATGATTATTTCGGCTGATTTTTGATGAATTCACGCACAGTTTCGATGGAATTTCCGGTGATCTCAGATTTTGATTGGCACACATGTTGATCGTCATTTGTGTTCTCACCACTCGTGCACTCTGCTACGGGATAAGCAATCATCGCCATAAACTTGTTTTATCAATTGAAACGTTTCGGTAAAAGTTTTGCCAATTTTAAAACAGAATTTAAGGTTGGCTCTTTGTTCGAAGCTCATTTTCGCACCGATAACACAAACATACTGATACTTAAAACGCAAAAACTTCACTGCAAATCAATGAAATGTCATGAAATTCTCACTGGACAATCGATAAAGATAGACGATGCTAACTCACCTGTTCCTGTTTATTTTGGAACGAACCTTGTAGTCGGTTGTCATGGCGCGACAACGGCCGCCCGTGATGGTTATGTTCTTACTGGCATTATTTTTGAATAAATATGGATGATTCCTTGTTTACATAGCCATTGAGCCAGAAACAAAGTTTGGCTCGAAAACGTCGGATCTTCTTGGAGCTTTGCAAGAGCTCATAGCCGGCATTCTCCGGAACAGAGTTCAGAGCCAAGTTTCATGCTGCTAGGATCCCGTTTCAACGGCCTTTTGAGGCAAGGAAACAAAAGAAAGCCCAGGGGGTCACATCTGGGCTGTAGGGCGACAGCGGAAGCGTTGGGATGCTGGCCTTGGTTAGGTAGCTGTTCACCAAAAAGGCTCTGGACGGTTATATCGAAGCCGAAGAGTTGTCCAAGATAGGGGTAAATATTGAGCAATTATAAAGGGAAAATATATTATTCCTAATGCTTAGTCCACAGACAACTTCAGTTATAGACAAGCTGTCACATAAAACCGCAAAATAACCAAGCATATTCTACTGAATAGGTTAAAAATAATTATACACAGGTCTTCTGTAAGGTCTAAAAACTTCAAATGGCAAACTAACCGACCAAAAGTCGATCTAACTTAATGTTCCCATATACCATATACCATTTATTATTACTCTGTGTTGCTTAGTTAGTATGCTCCCAAGCGCATGTCGGTTAGCCTTTTGGTATGTTTACAAACATATGCGTATGTCCGCTTTATGGTCATTACTGCCAAAGATTAATGTCAATCGGATAAGCTAAAGTAGCGAGTAGCCGCAAAAGCGCTGAGCAAAAGCACATAGATTTTCAATATGCCAATGCGAGTAAGTTAGGTTTCAGTATGAGCCGAATATTGAATCAGATCCACAGTGTTGGGCCCAAATGATAGCTAACTAAGAGCAAACGTTCTGCGACCGACCAGAAAATTGATTCACTTTGATTTATAGTCATTCTAAGTTAATGGAAAGCCGCAAAAGTAAAACTTAAAGGGAATCGAAGTTTCAGAGATGCACACGGCTTGCAAGTTGTCTTCGTAATAATGAAAAAAATATACGAATTGGAAAGCATTATGAAAGACTTATGAATTATTTAGCATATGGGGTTCTAAGTTCTAATAGTTCCGGATCCAATACAGTATTTAAATAGTGTAGCTATCAGTGAGATCTTTGAAAGTTAGGTGATGAACCGCATGAAATCGGAAACACAGAAAATAGGTATACCTAAATCTGAGCTATGAAGATAAGTTGTTAATAAAATACAACAAATCGCCATCCCCGACTCCTTTAGTGACAGCCTATTCTTGAGTAAAAAAATCAAGTATAATAATAAGTTGCGTAATTTAGTACCAATGAGTTAGACAATGGCCGGTATAAAAACATGTTTATCATAGCATTGCTAAGAACCTTTCTTAGAAGTACATTGCTTAAAAAGTAATTAGAATAGCTATAAACTAGTTTAAAGATAACCTATACCAAATTTAGTATTTTCATCCCTCTCTCTCTCTTCCCCACAGCCATGGAAGGTGTGCTGCCCAACTGCCAAATCAAATGTGACGCCGAGCCTTGCAAAAATGGCGGCATATGTAAAGAGAATTTCGCCAAACAGGAGTCCACATGCGACTGTGAGCACACCAGTTTTCTGGGTGAATTTTGCATGGAGGAGAAGGGTGCGGACTTTAGCGGCGAATCAACATTGTTGCGTAAATTCGAGCTTACCGGCAAAGTGGACTACGTGCGATTGCAATTGGCATTCTCCTCGTTCGATTTGCGGCGTGCCAACCGTGTGATGTTGTTATTGCAGCCGACCGGTGATCGCAGTTATTACCTGATGGTAGCCATTAACGCTGATGGCCATCTACTATTCGAAGAGGACCGTGAAGGGCCGGCCGTTGGGGCGCACATCGATCGAAGTTTTCTGAATAATGCACGCCACTCCATCTACTACATACGCAACGGCAGTGAGGCCACTCTGTATATTGACCGCGAAAAAGTGCCATTGACAAAGATACAGACACGTGCTCCGGTGCCGACGAGTGATGTGGGTGGAAATCGTGTACAAATTGGTGGCATCAATACAACAGATGCGAGATTTGCTGTGTTCAAGAGTTATAGCGGCTGTCTGTCGAGTAAGTAGCTATTTTGTATGTAGCTTCTCTATTTTAACACATACACATGCATTGATTGGTAAGTAGAAATAAGTGGCTCATAAAATGCCTGTTTTCTTGCCTCTTATAATGTTTGATCAGTCATATATTTTGTTGGTGAATTTGGTGACGTAAAATAAATGAAAGTTAAGTTGAACTAAGACTGCAAACTAAGCGAGACTATCTAGTAGAAATGCTTTAACAAGCATTTTGTTATCAAACACTAATTATGCTCCATGAGGAATGACCCACAAGGTCCTTACTATATCCTTTTAACCTATACGTCTCCGAAAACCCCTTTTCTCTTTAACAACGGCGACTTTTCTACATCCTAAGTTATTTCGTAAATATTTGTAATCGACGTATCTTCTCCGCTTAATTCTTCTCCGATTTTTTATATTTTTATCTACAATAGAACTGATTTCTTCTGTAGCCTAAATTTTAGCAAAAACTATTTTTCAGAAATATTCTCCGATGACATAGTAAAATGTGTGTAGCTCCATCACAAAACCAGAAGAGACAAAATTCAATATATTGCATGGAGGTTAGACTCGACCGATGTCATCCATATTTCCAGTGTGACAAATAAAAAGTTATACAAATACTATACCTGAGAATAGGTCGCTATGTTAACTTGTTAGGAGAATTATTGACCCTATTTTACGAAGTTTAGATACGAGGGTACACTATTATCAGAAAAAGATGCTCTTTTTATTCCAACTATATGCTTTACAGATTAGACAATATTTTCCGTAAAAAGGCGCCATGAGCACTGAAGTTGACCTTGCGGCTATACCTAATAAACTGGGGACTTGAAAAGTTTTTTTTCTGATTTGTATTTCGTTAGAGTAATTGCTTTATTTTCGACTTTTTATATTCTGAATAGGCTTTTTATAGTTTGCCACGATGTTTTTAACACCCAAAATGAAGCGCCGGAGACCCCATTAAGCAAATCGACTTAGCGATATACGTCTGTCTGTCTGCCTCTATATACACAAGCCAAACCATTAGTTTTTGAGATATCAGTGAAATTTCGCAAACGTCCTTTTCTCACCAAGGAATGAGTACTTTTTCTCGGAAGCGCCGATATCAATTTTTGTCAAAATACGCAGAATGTTGGACAAAGTTGACGGTAATTCAGTTTTATCAAATTCACAAGCCAACGAGTGGCACAAAGTATTCAAAGACGGTCGAGAGATCATTCAAAACATACTTCGTTCTAGACGACCTTCAAGCTCTTCAACTGATGAAAAAAAATTAAATTAAAGTAGGGTTAAGGTGTTTGAAAATCGTCAGGCAAATATTAGAAAGATTACAAGAAATCTCGAAATCGGTGGCGAATCCGCTCAAATGATTTTGGTGGTTCGTTTGGGTAAGGAACGCGTACTTGCTCGACTCGTCCTGATAAATCTGATTTTTTTCCCCAAACAAGTTCTCTTTGGACTGCTTGATCTTGCGAATTCCGATTTCACATTCATGGAGAGCATTACAACAGCTGATGAAGGACATAGATTTATGGGTGTGACATGTAAACAAGTCAACAATCATTGAAATAAAGGGAAAAAACGACCCGAAACCAAAAAGACAACGCCAATGCCGCTCAGAAATCAATGTGTTACTACTTTTTTGATATTTGTGGTTTGGTGCTTTATGAATTTGTTCCAGAGGGACAACCGGTTAATAAAGAGTTCTATGTATCGTTTGCATGAGAAGATCCATCGAAAATGGCCGAAATTGTGAAAGAACGATTTACGAATTTTAAACAATGATAATCCAAATGATCGAAATTAAAGCAAATACTAGCGTTCAGCCCCCGTATTCGCCAGATTTGACTCCGCATTACTTTTTTTTTAGTTATTTTCAGTCAATCGAAAAGATATGACAAAATTCGCTAAACGAACAGAAAACCATCCCAAAAAGTGCTTGTGAAAAATTTTTCGAGGACTCGACTCGTAGACACAAATGTATTACATCAGCTGGGGATTACTTTGAGGGTGACAAAATAAATATTGTTGAACAATTAGATAAATCAGATGAATATTCTTCCTTGGACATATCAGAGAACAAGTTAAGGTAGAGCCTTAATTAGGGCTCGTTGAGAATAATATCAGGTCTTGAAGTTTTAACTTCTAAAAGCTCTTCATTGTTTTATTTACAATGCAGACTGAACCGGGAGTGACGTAGAAGAGTTTCTCACCAAAATATTTTCCCTTTCAATTTCTATGATACTCAACATCCTGTACCAGCTGCTGTATACTAGACACTTGCCGTCTCTTCATTGGCCACGGGTGCCAAATGTTCTAGTTTAGTGTTTCAGTTAAGTAACTAAGAACTAAGCACAACTTATAGGTCAAGTACGATAAAGGCTTCTTTTTGATTTGTCTTTACTGAATGGGCTTATATAACCCAATTCCGTACTTTTCGTCATTAACAATAATATAAATGGCACATGAAGGAAGCGGGTTGATGGCAACGCCCACTCGTTGTGAAGAACCTTTGAGTTACATGACCATAAGTTACAAATTATATAACAACTTAAGTTAATATTCAGTGTTTATATATATATCCTTGGGTATGTAGACAACTCTCAAAGGTCAAAATTACTTGTTAATGCATGTTGTCTTTGGCGGAATTTTGTTTTCTCCTTCAGTGTTTTAAGTCTCAACCAAAGCACATACATATGTTTTAATTGTAAATATGTAACTCTTTATATACATATACATATATGCATAGGTTTAACTGCTGACTATGCCAAGAGACCGGGTATAAATTTCTCAGCAATGCGCTATTAATTCTTGAAGCTTCGCTAAACTCTTGATGAGGGTCCACTTGACGGACTAAAGTTGTTGCGTCCTGTTACGCCTAACGCACATTACAAACCACAAGCGCAGGTCCATTGAGTCATGACCGCTTTTAGCAGTGCTTTGCTAAACGATGTTGTTGTTGTTTTGCTAGTACTTGATATCCATTTACGCATATGCACATGCCAAAAACAACAAACACATCAGGAACTTGAGAATACGCATGGTGGCGCTGCACTTCATTCTGACGGAGCGCATTCGCAGCAGCTTTCAAGTATGTATATACATACATATGTATAGCTGTGCACATAAGCGAAAACGAAGCGCAAACTGCTTTATCTAGAGTTTTTACAACTTTTGAGGGTCATCAGCGCGGCTAAAATAGGAAAAAGTCAATAACAAACGTCCATCGACTAGCTGGCTGAGTAAATAAAGCACATACGTGTTTGTATGGGTTTGTGTATAAACAGATAGCAGTTCAAAAAGAAATAAAGGCACTTCAAACAAGTTTAAAACGATGGATTTTCTCGCACTTCTTTTTTCATATCCGCTCTCCGACCGACCAACCAGTTCGCTTTCTAAGATTTGTTGCTACTTCATGATGTACATTTATTGCCAAAGTCGTTAACAAAAAAACTTCACGGCTATAAAAAATGGTCTCCACTGAAGCCCCCACAGAGAGTGTAAAGACACAAAGTGAACAAAACGTCGTTAACGTAAGTAAAGAACCGCTGTCGCGCTATTGAATTTATTGTCCACACTGCCGCTTTCAATGACTGGTTTACGGGAATTTTAAAAACTCCTTTGATTAAGTAATTTAAAAATTAGTAGTACCATTTCATTTAAAACATAAATATTAACATAATAAATTTATATTTGACAACTATGTCAAACATCACATCAAAATAATCATTAGTGTTTAGTATACGCTTGTATTTCCGAAGTACATCACGTGCATTCGGCGATTTTGACGTTGAGTGAAATTGTTCAACAAAGAAGTTCCATTAAACTTTGTGTGCGGAATCATGTTTCTGGTGCCGAAACGTTCAGAAAGTCGGAAAATGTCTTTGGTGATAATTGTTTGTCGCGAGAAAGTTTTTTCGATTGGTACAAATAATTCGAAAAGGGACAAGAACGCAATGACGACAAACCACGTCCAGGACGGCCATCAACATAAACCGATGATCAATACGTCAGTAAAATAAAGGAATTGGTGCTTGGCGATTATCAGTCAGAGATCTTACTGGCATCGTTGGAATATCAGAAGGATTAGTGAATACCATTTTGTATGATCATTTAGGCCTAAGAAAATTGAAAGCATGATTGGTTCCAGAATAACACAATTTATTCGGAAATAGCGTCGCGTTAACGTCTGTGAAACAATGCTTTCTGACTACCAGGATGTTATGAAACTCATTATTACTGACGATCTATGTTTACGACTCGGCAACAAACGATCAATCGACCTAATATCGTGGCAAAAGTTAAACCGAAGCCATCAAAAATCAAGGTATGTCAACAGTGTTCTTCGATTTTCGAGGTGTGGTGAACTCCGAATACCTTTGAACACTATTTGAGTATTATGCGTCGCCAAGCTATTCGAAAAAAGAGGCCGGAATTGTGGACCGTTTTTGCACCACGATAATACCCCGCCGCATACTGCATTAACCTCCGTGTGACTTCTGGCTATTCAGCAAACTCAAACGACCGCTTCGGGGAAACTGTTTTAAGTCAAGTGAAGACTTCAAACGTGAATTGCTAGGCGCATCGAAGGCGAAACCACGAAATTGTATGAAAGTTCGAAAATGAAAAACTCAGCGAATATACATAAAATCAATCTGCGAAACACATGACATTGAAAGCTTTCCAATTCTTGGGTTGTTCTCTAAGTACTTTATTTGTTGATAACAGCTGATCTGCATTAACGTTTTTTGGTTAGACTTATCCTGCGTTGGATTTCGAGTCTAACATTGTTGTCGCAGTTAGTGCTGGTTCCAAGATAGACGAAATTATCTACAACTTCGAAGTTATCACTGTCAAAAGTCACGCTTATGGAAGCTCAACTGGTAGTAGTTTCTGCTACTAGGTCCGACCGGAGACTTAATTCTGGTACCACGGGAGCAGGAGCCCTTTTACTCCAACCTGCTGCACGACAGAAGTTTGAGATGAGCCTCGATCCCAAACAAGGTGGTTAGTGAGTCCATTCCACACTGCAAATTAGTACTCAAAATGCTTAGCATTCTCAGGGCGCTTGATTTGATCCGCTTTGCTTTCGAGTGCCTTACTCCACGGCTGTCGTCAGTAGGTACCTACGTAAAGTACTCCGGATGTTGTCAAAAGTGACGTGGGAGCCTAGTCACGAGTGTGACGACTGTTTGTTTGATGACAGAAGATATTACGTCTTGCCTTCGTTCACTGCCAGACCCATCTGCTTCGCTTCCTTATCCGGTTTGGAGAAAACAGAATATCATCGGCATACGCCAGCAGCTGTACACTCTTATAAAATATTGTATCTGCTCGAAGGTCGCACAAAAGGGAGTCGCCTTATCTGAAACCTCGTTTGGCATCGAACGGCTCGGAGAGGTCCTTCCCGATCCTGACGGAACTTTTGCTATTACAGCCGTATTAGTTTTGCGGGGATAAAAGAGTCAAACATCGAGGACTAAAGGCACCTACTTTTAGTGCTATTAAAATCAGCTTTGAAATCGACGAAAATTTGGTGTGTCGATTCTCTTCACCCGGATCTTTTCCAGCATTTGTCGAATTGTGAATATTTGGTCGGTTATTGATTTTTCAGGTCTAAAGTCACACTGATAAGGTCCAATTAATTGGCCATGCTTTCGTCCAACGATATTTTACAAAAAAGCTATTTTATTTAGTTTGCCAAACATGTGATCCATTTTTAAACCTCTTCGTTACTGGCAACGAAAGTGAGGTTGTTTACAAGAATGTAAAGTACAAGAGATCAAGTTTTTAAAAAAGACGAACAAACACTTCGAAAGCCGAAGTTATAAGTCATATGATTTCACATCGATCTAGACAGGAGCGCGGCAAGGAAGATCAAAACGCCATAGAACGATCTATTGGGGTGCAAAAGTCATATGTAAAGAGATAGAACAGATATACATAAGGTTCTCACTGGACTCTAGAGAAGGGACTTCAGAACTTTTAGTGGCGCACGCCTGCTAACTGATCGAATCAGAAATCCCACGAACAAGGCACCATGGGAACAATGCGGCACTACGGACAAGTGACGGCACTCCTTCGTGTATCGCTAAGGTCCAAAGCTGGCCTTTAATTGGCTTATTTAGTTTGTCAGACTAGTCTTGCCTAATCTAACTTACTATTCTAAGATAAACAACATTTATACGGTATTTAGATCCTTCGATATCCGACTTATTAATTCATGATCTCTAATCTGACTTTTTCACAAATATTTTTTCTTTATAAAAACATAGCGAGAGAAGAAATAGTACATAAATTAGAGCAATATTGATTTCTAGCAGTAAATTAAGTATAGTATAGATATTATAAACATATCATATGTACTGCTGATACCCACTGTCAATTAAATGACTTGCTCTCCTCAGGTGATTTCAATGAATACATGTAATTATGTAATAACCACATAAATAAAAATGGATGTGGAAGTTTGGGTTTTACTAATGCAATTTCCCATTATCGCCAACAGATATTTACATACAAGTGAATAATTATGTGATGAAACCGCTGGAGGAATATATGCTCTTCACCAAATCAGGCGCCGACAACATAACTGTTATTCACCCACAGGGTCTGCGCAGCGCACAGTGTATAGCCAAATTCGATATTTCGGAGCAGCCATCACAGGAACCAATGGTCAACGTGAGCTCGGTAAGTAATAGCCAGTGCAGAGGGACACCCCTCATGCACAACAGTCATTGAAGTATAAGCAACAGTAACGGTAGTTTAACGAGATTTCCAAAATGACAATAACACAAACAGAAGCCAATAACCACGCCAAGGTATCAAAATTGCATAATTGTAATGGACCGTTGCTCTGGTTCGTTCTTACCTTCGCGTGTAGTAGATTGGCGCGTAGATTTGCATATGTGAAAGCCTGCTAATGTCTGATTGCGTAGCTTATTTCCTGAGGCCTATGTAGGTACTCATGAAAATGTATTACCTTTTGCAGAGTGTCGAGACTTGGGTTGAAGATCCACCGCAACGCGTCCTTTATGTAGCCAAATTCGGTTACGACGTTTCGGAGAAGGAGGACTCCACGCAAGTGGTATTCATAACGCTGACGTCGCTCTTCGTGATCATAATCATTTGCTGCCTAATAGAGGTGTACCGCAGTCATCGTGCCTATAAGAAACGCATCGAACGCCAGACCGACGAGGATATCATATGGTCAAAGGAACAAGCGACGAAAATGCATGAATCGCCAGCTGTGGCGGGAACACAGTCTTACGCCTACAAAGTGGTGAGTACAACAATGTAACGGAGGCGTAGACCATTAACTGTAATTAAAACGAAATTTATTACTCTTGCCACTTGCAGTTGCCACAGGATGAAAAGAAGTCGGGAAATGGCGCTCCGCTGGTAGGTATTTTGAAAAATGGCAGCGCAGCTGGCGCCGCAACTGTGGCAGGTGCAGCAACGCCGGCTAAAGAGAATGGTAGCACAAAGAAAAACGGAGATATTGACGCGCGCATCGATGAAGAGGATGAAGATGATGCCGAGGATGCCACAAAAGCAGAAGTAGACAAAAGCTTAGATGAAGCCTTGGAGGCAACACAGCCTGAGAAACAAGCGGATGAAAAAGAGATTAGTGAGAAAGGCGCTGGGGACACACTTAAGAAGAAAACTGCAAAAGCAAACGAAGAAAAACCTGTAAGCAATGCTGATGCAAATAAGAGTCCAAACGAGAAACCGAACGACGGGAAGGCTAAAGAGGAAACAAAAGCTAAAGATGAAAGTATCGAACCAGCGAAACAAGATAAATCCAACGTAACGGCGAAGCCAAATGAAGGTATGTACAAAACTTACGACAAATTTTTTATAAAAAGTTAAATTCCAAAACGCAGCATAGAAAGAGCTGACTCTCCCAACCTTTTGCCGGCCTATGCCTTTTTGGCCACTTTCCTGTACGTCAAGCTTTTACAACTTTTGAAAAATTTTCATTTCATTTCAAAATCCTGTAGCTGAAGCATGTAACAAGACACATCAAATAATCTTCGAAATAACGGATCGTTGTTCAATTGTTCAATATTCAGGGCTTTTGTGATAATAGATTAATGTCATTCGGACAGAGCCTTTCTTACCATACATGTTGGTTGGTTGAAAAAAAATGCTCCGGACCGCAGACGATCGCACTTAGGCCAACATTGGGCCCATTGAACCAACGGAAGGTACCAAATTTAAGTCTATTGCAGCAACTCTGTAGATTTCGTAAAAGATCTAATTATTTTCCATCTTAGCTGCCCAATAACACTTAAGTTAGAGTATTTGGAACCTTGAAATATGTATCTTGTCATCCGGCATTCGCATAAATAATGTTCCAATACACCGCCGAATCTATTATTCCCATTTTCAGAAAGTGAGATCTTAAGGATAGGTGACATGTAAAGATCCCTAAAATATTAATAAGCTCCCTTTTAATTTAAATTATTAGCTTTTTGGTCTGTCCACCATCAACACTACCCCAAAGTAGTTTTGTGGTATTCAAACAACGCTTGAAGGAGCTAAATGGCCTGGGACAGCTGGAGACACAATCCTCCTAAGCTGCCCCAGGCCATTTAGCCCCTTTAAGCTTAGGAGGATTGTGTCTCCAGCTGTCCCAGGTTCGTCTGTCTTTTCATTTCATTCTATTTATATATCCAGGTACCTCGATGATATTAACTATGTTTCCTGCCAGAAGTCTATTAACTGTCTTCTAGCATAACCTAACGCAATCAGACTTTGCATTGGTACTAAGGATGACCTTAGCTGTAGCTAAGTAATTTATATTTATTACTGAGGGAGAAAAACCCTGAACCATCAATCTTCCACGATAAGACTGAGGTTGTATTAGTCATAAACTCGTAGAAAATTTATTTTTCAGAATTCACAATGCTATCTGCTATCAATTATCCCGTAAATTCCTTAAAATTGGATAAAAGTGAACACAGTGTAATCTCACCAGAAGTGAGAACGGAAAAAATGAGACAGAGGGAGAGAGAGAATAAATCACTTGAAAAATTAGAAAACAATTTACGGTTGATGAGAACTCTCAGATTTTGAAAAAAAAATTTACTTCTCAGCCATCAGTCGTCAGTCCTCAGACCATTCCTCTTCTTCTTTATTTGTACAGATACCGCCTACGAGGTTACAGCCGAGTTTACAACAGCGCACCAGTCGTTATTCCCTTTCTCTGTTTGGCGCCTGTTGGAGATCCCGAAGTCAGGTCTTTCTCTACCTGATCGCTCCAACGGAGTGGAGGCCTTTGTCTTCCTATGCTTTCCGCGGCGGGTACTGGGTCGAATACTTTGAGACCTGGAGTGTTTTCCTACATTCGGACGTTCGCTGAACTATGTCAATGTAAAAGGAATCTTCCGCAGACGGAAATAATGTGTGACTTATAGAGCTTGGTCTTTTTTCGGACTTTGGAGCCAAGTCGTGAGTGCGACGACTGTTTGTTTGATAACAGGACATATTTCGTTTTGCCCTTGTTCACTATCAGAGCTATTTGATTCGCTTCCTTATCCAGTCTGGAGAAAGCAGAACTAATGTAGGCGTGGATGTTGAGGCCAATGATATCAATATCATCGGCGTACACCAGAAGCTGTAAACTCTTATAAAAGATTGTAGCTTCTCTATTCATATCTGCAGCTCGAAATATTTTCTCCAGAAATAGATTGAAGAAGTTACACGGTAGAGAGCCGCGGAGTGTTGGTGTAGCTCCGCTGAAGCTTCCCCGCTTTTAGTAGTAACACCATCTTAAACGAAAAGGTTACTCACGTTTCCGAGGTGCACGACGAGGACGCAATAGTAGGAATTGGGAATAGCCTTATGACTGTAACTGCTTACCCACGGGCATGACTATTACACCCCTGACCAATTCGACCGCCTCTGTTATCAATAACTATTTTAATTCTATAATATTTATGCTGATTTGTATACCGTTAAGGTACGTTGGAGAGCCTATGAAATATATTTATAAATTATCAGCATGATTATCAGCATTTTTACATTCGTCTTTTTTTTTAAAAAAAAAAGCTGCTCGTTTGTCCAAATCACCAATATCGGATCCCTATAGCATCTAGCTGTCACGCAAACTGAACGATCCAAATCACGTTCTTGTATGGAAACTCTAATTTGTGAAGCGTATTAACGTTAGTTTTTTGTTTTTTTTTTTGTTTACATTCAATATAATTTCAAAATATGTGCTTAAACTTAAGTTTATCTTTACCTATCGATAAACAAAAATGTTTTTTAACCCATTTCTTTCTTCTTTCTAAACTTAGAAGCGAGCCAAGTGACACCCAAAAGCACCGAGTCTCTTTCTCCAGCGCAGCAGCAAAATCTAGAGAAAGAGACTCAAACACCTGCCCAAATAGATGTTTATTTGGTAGACGGAAAACCGCAACAGACGAAACCTGCTTCCACAAATGGTGCAACAGCGAACGGTCACGGCACGGTAAGCAAGCGCTATAGTTCTGATTCTAAGGATGGTACGGGTGTTATGCAAATCGGTTTGGCACCGCTTGACTCCATCAGTGAAGTCGATTTATTGCTTGAGCCATAGCTTAGTTAAGCTTTACATGCACAACTGTACATATCACTACACATACATATCTATGTAAATATACGCAAACATATACACATACATATCACGCATGTTGATTTTCTTGCGCATTTTTTGCTAGAATTATTATCTATGTATAAGCATACATATATTGTATATAGTACTACTTATAACCAAACATGTGCTCTCATATACAAAAGAAAGCAAATACAGCAGGTCTCCTTTAAAACAATTATACTTAAAGTATATATATTCCTTAATATAAATATACATATACATATGTATATACCTATCTATGTATATTCTGTCTCTTATACACATCTAGATGTGTATAAGAGACAGGTATATACCTATCTATGTATATTTATATAATATATATTTTATAATTTTGATACGCACATTTTCCCCACAAACTTTCACTTTAAAGTAAAATCAAACTTTAAAAGCTCTCTGCTGCATTTGCTTTCGAACTATCTACATTGTACAAAATGGACATACAACAAAATTTCGAACACTCGTAAATATTCGTACACACACATTTATCGATATAGTAGATATAAAATTACCGTTGCATACAGTTTGTGCTTGTGTCATTGAACGAATTTAGTCCATTTCTTAATTGATACTAAAAACGAATTTGAGCAAATTACTAACCGAAGAAATCCAAACCCACAACAAATTAATCGATAAATTTGTTGAAAAATCAGCTCTGAAACTTTTATCAATGAGCCTTGCGCATAATATTTAGTTAATAGCCATTTCTAAGCAACTATTTTGAAAATATTTGTATTAAAACTTGTGTAAATAGAAATTTATTTTTATAAAATAAAGGAAATGGATTAAATATACATACTCACATACATTTCTAAATTGCTTTCATCATTGCTGTGCTTTTAATTTCTTATTTATTTCTGTATCGTTTATTATGGTAGTGAAAATTTATATTTTTACGGGTAAGTTATATTGTACATATTTAGTTTGGCTTTGCTTTACCTTATATAAATATGTTTTAAGCAACAAATTTTGCTTAGAACGCATGTTGTTGTAATTTTAAGCCGAGTAATATTAGTACTAAGTTCTATACCACTTATATATATAATATTCATAACTTTAGAAGACTTCTGCGTAGCTTCAAGGATTACTTGCAAAATATGAAAAAATCGTATAAGTTTGACTGAACACAAACAAAATTTAGGAAACGTAATCTTCTTGAACAAATATAGAAAATATTGAAAGTAAACTGCCCATTTATAAATGTTCTTACAAAGCATGAGACATAATCTAAAACTCTCCAGATATGTATATGTAAACATCTTGTCCAGTTTTTTCGGATTTTTATTTAATTCATGAACTGTGGTCTTTCCAACGGAGTATAGGTCTTCCTCTTCTTCTGCTTCCTCCGGTGGGTCCAGCTCTCAGAGCTGGAGTGTTTTCACTCATTCGTACGACATGACCTAGCCAGCGTAGCCGCTGCCTTTTCATTCTTACCTGTTGGCAAGAGTTATTATCTACATTGAATTTTGAGACTGACGTTGTTGTTAGTGTTAATGCTGGTACCAAGAGAGATCAAATTATCTACAACTTCGAAGTTATGACTGTCAACAGAGAGGGGGAAGCCTGCAGCTCGAAATATTTTATATATTGAAAAAGATAGAACTTTTTATTTTGCCCACTGTCAGTTTACACATCGGTATTAGTTTGCGGGGATACCAAATTCAGACATATCGGCATTGAGGCAGCTACTTTTCGTGCTGTCGAAAGCGGCTTAAAAATCGACGAGGAGATAGTGTGTGTCGAACTTCCTTTATTGGATATTTTCCAAGATTCAGCGCATTGTGAAAATCTGATCGATTGTATATTTTCATGGTTTAAAGTCACACAGGTAAAGTCCAATTAGATTATTGACGATGGGCTTCCATCTTTCACAATCTTACGCTCGATAGAACCTTATATATTATTTTTTGTCTAACCATGTTCAACAAAGAAGCATATGCATGCCTCTTATCAGTTTTTCGCCGCCATCTTTGAATAGCTCGGCCGGCAATCCATTGGCCCCGCTTCGCTCATTCGGGTCTTGTTCGACACTTCATCTTCGCCTTGGGTACGCATTGTACGGCATCTCTGAGGTTGCGAATTATCCGCTAAGGTAAACGTGGTGTGAAATCGATCTGTGGTTTCTACAGCTGTCAAAACGACCCCAAGTCCGAAATAGTACTCCTTCATTGAAAATCACATGTATAAAAAACACCCGTTCAAAATACCTATATCAGGAAACTGATCGGAAAAAACGTAAGCTGTAGGTGACTTGCTTGAGTGGATATCTCATTCAACTGCTAAACAAATTCTTGCCTCGAACATGAATTAACAAGCCCCAGAAATAATAGAGACAAGATTGCCATACAATACAACATAAACCAGAGCCACTTTCAAACTTCCATAGTATTTATAAACAAAGACTTATCCTCCTTTCATTCACGACGTCACGAACCAACTTACTTTTCTGTCAAACGAACTCTAAAATACCCAACAACACAAATCTGTCGCAATATTTATTAACAACTTTTTTGACAACATCTTTTACTTACTCTTAGGCACATCCTAGCTTTAAATATTCAGTAGATGTGTTCGTAACAATTCAATCTATTGCGCACTATTCTTTCTTGTTGGAACTAAAAATTCTCTTTCTCCATTTTCTGTAATCGCTTTTTTGTACAATCGATTGTTAATTCTACGCGTACGCTGTTTCCGCCTCACAGTGCCACAATTGTATTGTAATTTTACTTAGTAAAATACTTCATTCACAACAAGGTCGCACTTCGATAACTTTCTACTAATGTCTCATACCCACCTTCCTGCAGCCACTTTTCACTTGAGTGCATGTCTTCACGGTGTTGCATTCTAAACTCATTGAATTATCTTTCATTTACTTTTTGTTACCATTTTTCTCAGTAGTATTTCAGCGCACACAAATGAAAATGCAAACTTAAATAAATAAACAAAAAACTTCCAAAGAAAATGCATTCCACTATTATTTGGTTGTCATCTATTTAAGTTGTTGCTCTTTTTATATATAGCCCTGGAAAAATATACTCATTTGCTTTTTGTTGTGTATTTCGTTGTCATTTCTTGTGTCATCTCTGTTGTGGCCACCTTTTGTTCAAGTTTTGGACACTTTCGCATTAACAAAATTACAATGGCTTCCTCGCTTCACCCGGCTCCTTACCTGTTTGGATGTAATCCTTTGTTGCATAGTGTCTTCATTTGTAGAGCGCTTAATATAATCTGGATAAGTGAATTTATATTTTTTTCGTAGTTTGTCTTAATGGTTCTGAAGTGCTGATTTCATGGTTGAAAATTATATTAGAAAATTTGTTAAAACTATATGAATTTTGCATAGTTAAAAATCATGGGTTAACGTTGCAGATACAATAGACTGATTTATAAAAAAACCACAAACGTTAAATTCGGCTGTACCTTTACCCTATGCATTTTTTTGTAGCATAAAGAAGTATATAAAGATCCTTATCTTAAGTTTACCGGTCTGTTATGGTCTGAATAAAAGTGTTCGCAGATTGCAGTTAAGGCCTGGGTACAAATCTATGCGAATTTTTGTATTTCCAAACAAGAACTGGAGATTGTTTAATTTTACTTAATTTAGAATTAACAATTTCTTCTTACTTAATTTAAAATTAACAATTTCTTCGGAGATTTAAGTGATGCCACGAGTATTAATCGTTGCCAAATTTCATGAATATACCTTGTCGAAATCTTCCTACAAGGACTTGAGTTTGATTGACCTGTTTGTATTTTTCATCGCCGATACACCTTTGGGTGTCTCTGAAACGTTCCCTATCTATGATTCCAGAGCAAGGTATTAATTGCTATTGACAACTTAATTGTTGACTTCAGTATTAGGCCTTAGTTTGCTACTTCTAGATCACTTATATATGATATGGATTTACGGGGGATGATGCGGTGGCATACCAAGGCTCTACAAAGAATTTAGAAATTTCACTGGATAATTCACGGCGTCGTCTTTATTGTTAAGACGATCGATCGATTTGTATCAGCGCAAGTCTCCCTGAATTTTACTTTGAATCTTCCAGTTTAAGTCAACAGCATTGGTATTTTTGACAGCTGACATTGCGCGTGCACTTAAGGAATCGTAGTTACGATAATTTGGCCGATGTTTGGATAAACATTCGTGATGAGTTCATCTTTCGTGTATTGATAAACGGCGAATGGAATTAATATCAAACCACCATAAGTATCAACCGGAATTTTTGTTTGTTGGCTTACTTCTCCAAAACTTGCACACACCGTACCTTTCACAGTTCGCAATGACTCAAATGAAGTTGAACTGCGAACATTAATTGAAGGAAGAATTGTCATTTTACGGGTAGATTGTATAAATTCGTCGTAAGGAATTAGTTGAGAACACATCTGGATGTCAATCTACTGGTTTGCCTTTCTTTCTGCGTAACTATTTCTTCGACGATGCATTCCATGTATGTCAAGATATTTCCGAATAGAGCAATGTTCTCGCAAACGGTTCACTGAAGAAAGTTGAGAAAAAACTCGTAAATGTTAATTTTGTTGCTCTCGCTGTTTTTATTGGCTATACTGTATTCTCTGAGTTGAAATATACTCTTTGGCCATTCTCCAAATTAACTGCGAGACGCGCAAAAGTAAATATCCCACAAAGCGCTTTATTGCAGTCAACGTATCGACCATTTGATGCTTGCTGATCTCATCTCGTTCAAGACCAATAACCGCCATATTGCTTCCTTTAGTGATGTACTCACAAAATACGTAATATCGATTACACCAAACTGCAATACTCAACATTAATATGAGTTTTGAATGTGAATTAGTGGTGCATATAGTACGATCCATGAGATGTCAACTTCGATATCTATCTTCTAAATTAAATGCTGTGGGTTCTGCCATTGTCGTCTGGTGAGCTACGCCGATAGAGTGGATATCCAGCATTTCTAGTTTGTGTTTCCGAAAGAAAAGCACGTGGATACTGTTTCGTGAATTTATTATTAGACGTGCAAACCGAAGTGGGATTGTGGTGTCCGCAATTTCCATGAACCATATAGGTTTTCATCACTTCGTATAATTCTGGATCTTCCTTTGCATCAAGAATTTCCGCATGATTGAATGATTTCATCAATTTCATCTGGTGTAACCACCATCCAAAGAAGAATGTGCGCGTGCAAACCTCTTTTTTGCCACTCAACAGAGCACATCCAGCATTCAACAGCACCATCAAACCCCGTAAATGTTGTTTGAAAAGTTGTGCGATGACATCGTGACAATCGATTGTTGATTGAACGCGATCCTTAATTCCACACGTATGTCATCGCCTCCTGGGAGTGCTTCTTGCCTTGCCTTGTCTTGGGCTGCCATACGTCGCTCGCAAAAAAAAAAACAACGCCGACCGATATTAGAACGACCTCTTCGTGGCTTCGTAACGAATTTCAATCCGCAATTGATCACTTTGCGTGAAACATACATATGTAAAGTTTTCAGTGAATAATTTGCAATAATTTTTGTTTTGAATAGCCGGAATAAAAAAGCAAGCGAAAGAAATTGAACGATTCAAACAAAAAATTTAAAAAAATGTGTATGGAAAAGTGTTATTTTTTGGAACTATCCAATTTTCCGACTTTTCCTCATGAAAAGTATAAGGTATTTTGATTTGTAAACCTTCCCTGATCCACAACGAATGACCTCTGAAAATTTCACCAAGATTGGTGCAGCAGTTTGTATGGGAAAAAGAAAAGGGCTGTTTTAAGGGGTTTCCCGGAAATTATTCGAAATTTTCTCGCTGTAAAAACCATCCTTGAACCGCAATAGCCACATTAAAAAAAAGAATTATCAAATTTGGTTCAGTCGCATGAAATTTATGAGCGTACATACATTTTAGCGACTCATTTTTATTTATATACATACATAGATAAAAATAAAATGCTTTCCGTAAAACTCCAAAACAAGCTAATGATGTACTAATTTCAGTTTGTTTACAAAAACAAAACTTTCCACGAAAGCTGTGAAACAGCGAGATGGCTTGTGTTTTGGATTTCAGTTGCGGTTTCTGCGTTTAATTCTGAAAAACTCGTTACGTTAATGAAATATTTAATGTTGTTTAAATAATATAATACTCACTAGTAGATCCTGCCACGCATTGCTGTATAGTTTAATAATATTATAATAAACTATTCATTCTAGTGAAAATAATATTCACAAATAAAGGTGGGAACGTTATTTTCAGTATAATAATCCGAGGAATTTTAATTGAGTATTAATTTAGAAACTGATTGATACAAATATTTGTCAGTGCAAAGAATAATGCATTTTACTCAAAATTATAGTTTCAAAAATATAATATATAATTATTTTTTGAAATTTTGAATATAGCCTTATTATTTGAAATATATATATATATATTTATATTTACATATTTAGCAGTTTATTACGGACAAAGTGTGACATGTAATTTTTATATATATACATTTTACTCTAATATTCATATATAAAAAACGATTTAAGACAGTGAAAATTTTATTAACGAATAAATACCAAAAGGTTTTTGGTGGTATAAGAATCCAAGGGATTGTAAGTGAGGTTTAATTTTGAATATGTTCATGCTGATAAATTTCATTGGAAAAGATAACGCATTTTAGGCTGCTTTCTAAATGGAGATGTACGCTTAATAGAGCGTTCATTTCATAGAGCTTTCACTGCATTTTTTATTTATGAATTATTTTCATTATTCTACCTTTTAAATTGGTTCAATTTGGACACAGTGTGCCAAATTTCACATAAGGCGGGACAGTAGTTTCGGAGTCCATCGCGGACAAACAACGTGATACGTAATTTTTATATATTTATTGGAATTTAAAAAGTAAGCCAAATACATATATTCCCTGTAACTGTAAATCAGAGAAAAAATTTGACAGAATATCCGAGTCTGTTTTGACCGGACAGTTTTATAAAATGCAGTATTTTCAGAGTTAAAACCAATATTCAATATCGCTGCGAAAAAAGGCTATAAGCTCTCACAGGGTTAACTCGTTTTCTCGTACACTTTTGTATGAAATGCCGATCTGACCGGGATTGCCTTTAATTATTTTAACCAATTTCTAAAACTGCTTCAATTAACTTATTATTTCTTGACAAGGATATTCTCTTCTGTCAGCAATGCTTTTTACACTCAATATACCGACAAAACCGATAAACCTCTCATTTTAATGACTCTTTTCGAACGTTTCTGCAAGATTTTTTTACTTTAGAAGTTTCGCATGACATTCGAAACTCTCACTGAAAGCTTTTATACTATTCAAGATTGAGTAAAACAGGACATTTTGTAGATTGTAGGTCTAGATAACTCTACGCTTGATTTTTATTAAAACTTTCCGCATAACTTTTCACATTTTTTTTCACGTGATATTGGTATGCGCGAAAAATGTGCGCAGAATCTTAAATATCGCTGTAAAAATAAATTTTATCACTAACAAACCGACGTGGAAAAAATTATATTGTAGTACATAATTTTCCGTTCTACAAAGAGTTACACCATGTCGTATGAGCAACACAGATAGTTGAGGTATAAGACATGAAATAGAACAAAAGAGGTACACCATGCCGTATGAGCAGCACAGAATGTACTTGTGTTAATAAATACACAGGGAATGCTGGTTACTCATACGGCATGGTGTACCTTTTTGTTCTATTTGATGTATAAGTTTAATGACGTATAACTTTTAAAAGAATAGTTTTATGAAAATAGTAGTTTTTAATAATAATAGTTTTTTTGTAGAGTGTAAAATTTTGTATTGTAATTAAACCTAAAAAGTGTAGTTACTTAATGCAAAATATCAAAAAAAACTATAATCAATATATGGGATAAGGAATATCATTTAGCTACGGATTAAATGAAAATAAAGAGTTTTTGTTTAAGTTGGAGCCATATTTATAGGACAAATATTGAACCATCAAGAGGCGTTTGTAAAAAAAATTAATGAATTTGGGAAACAACGGACAGCTATTATGTATAGATAGAATTTTGGCATTTAAAGTTTCGACTATACTTAAAAATTTAATTATAATTTTTTGAATATTGAACTCACTTATTTCAGCGCGATTGTCTTTTAGACAACATAACTTAATAATTGAAACTAAGCGTTTAATACTTTAAAATTTGCTTGAAACTTGTTGAAATATAATACCATTTCTAAACCGAATGTCGGAATATTACACTATTTTAACTTTTGCATGGATGTGTATAGTATGTTCAATAATATTTTAGTATTAAATGCCAATGAGCGAGTACTCTGTATGAGGGCATGAAAATAATCAATAAATATTTATTATGATAATGTAAATATTTTACTATTCAAATATAACCTTTAAGTGTATTTACTGGAAACACAAATATTTACTCAACAAATAGGGACCGTCACTTATATATCGAATAAGTCTACCGCAATGCATGACAGCCAATTAACGGCATAACGCACAACTATAAATACGTAAAATCGCACAAATGTTGTTTTACCGTTGTTGTTGAGCAAAAGAAACGGAACATAATAACGTTTATCTCAAAAGAGATTGAAGTCCCGATAAGTTAACTTGCATTCAAAGCATGATTTGCACAAAAAGGAATGACATTTTATCGATACAACAAAAGCAAGTGTCTTTATGTCACTAAAGTTATTTACATACATACATATATTGACAGCAAAAAAACCCAAAGCACCAACAACAACAACAGGCACAGTCACTGCAAGCCAATGCAACACGCGTCGAACGCAAGCCGTCGGTTAAACGGCAAGTATCCTGGGGACCACCAACAGTGGCTGAAGCGGATGCGGAAACGCTCAAACTCACCATCACAGCACCCGTCTACAAACAAAACGGCTACTACGTCGGCAGCACCAACACAAGCAACAACAAAAACAATGCAAATTGTGCGACAATGACATGAAATTGGCGCGTGAGCCAGGCACTTGCATACACAACAACAATACAAGCAAAGAATTTCAAAAAATACATAAAGACATTAAGTAAACTGCTCTATAAATAGTTTCATACAATCGCATCATCATATATTTATATAAGGCAAACAAGTGGACGCAGAAAGTCATAGAGATATTATATGGTTTAAGATAATTAATATAGCCGCCGGATATCTGGCGCACTTCGAAAAAATGGGTTAACCAGCATAAGCAAGCTTATGCGCATTTTTTTACAACAAAAAGTAGTTTTAAATTTGACGTCGATTTGTATTTTGATAACAATAATACATTTTATTCACAATAAGACATAGGAATACATACATATACATATATATGCAAATGTATAGGGATACAGATATGAGTAAATAATATCGAAAGCCTGAGAAAAGGAAGTGGAGCCTGGATTAACTCTCATTATTCTCACTTTAGAAAATATGTTCAAGTACACAGGATATATATCACAATGATTTATTTTAATAGCTCTATCCCGTTAACTTAGTGAAAGGGGTTTTTAGACATTTGGTTTTCCAAAATAAAGAATACGCATTAAACTTTTTATTACGATCAAGAATTTAGCTTTATTATAAAGAGAAGTTAAGGGTATTCCGTCTTAAAAATGATTTCGGGCAGTGATTATCGCGTCTGCATGAATTAAAATCCATTAAAATCCTACTTTTGCAGCAATGAGACCGTTGATCAGTAATAACTTGCTAACTTATCTCTCTGATAGTGTCAAACATATCGGGATTATCTGTGTAAACAAGCGACTTCAAATAGCTCCACGCACATTACAAGCGCGTTATAAGCGACATTATTTTTGAAGAAATATGGGCCAAGAATACCCGCTGCCCATAGAGCACATACAAGAGAATATATTTGAGGATATAACAACGTCTCAATAACGACTTGGGGATTATCAGGACTTCCAGTTTCGTTCATTAACATACCCATTGGACCAAAAGTTACCTACATCGCTAAGCAAAACTTTCTTGTAAAAATCTGTATCGGTGGCCATCTCGTTTTGGGCCCATTCACCGAACGTGCGAGCGCTTAATAGTCGTTCAACTTCAATCCTGGCCCGAGATAGATTTTGTAGACCGGCAAACCGGTGTAAGTTCATTGTAAAATGGCCGACCAAACGAGTATATGGTAAATCAAATAACAGCTGTCAAACAGATCAACTCCGAAAAATTACTGTCTCATTGAAACCCACAAATCTGAGAAAAAATTTGTTAGGGGGTATTCTGGTCTAGACGCATGAATTTCAGGCATTTTTTAAACAAAGATAAAAAAAATTAAAACATTTTTACCATCTATTTCTTCCCTTGTAGCGATCTAAAACACAAAAAACATGAAGATTCTTCATTAGTAAGGATGTCGTTATCGGGTTGATTAAAATGATCAAAAATAAAATTAAAAAAAAAGAATGGCGTCGACTTAAAAAAAAAAATTGTAACCCGTTTTTTTCGACGCTTTTGAATTTTTAAAAATACTTCAAATCAAAATTTTTAGAAATCCAAGACAGGCACGATAGAGCATTGCATAAAGAAGATAGACACCAAATTTCAAAGGAATCGGTTTAGTAGAACTTGAGATATCATGTCAACCACCTCAAAAAGGGTCTTTCGAGAAAATCGCGATTTAAGTTTAAGAGACAATTCTAGTGAACACGGGCGCCACGTCAAAAATCGGCTGTATCTCCGAAAATAAGTCGAGTTTTGAAAAATCCTTACACGGTCATATTTTTAAAAGTCTAAACTTTCAAAATATACAAAAAGAAAATCGATTTTTTCAAAATCCTTGACCAGAATACCCCCTTAATACTGATGTGAGCAGTTAAGAAAATGGAGCAGTGATGACCAGAACGTGTACTACTGTGATCAAATTGAAAGGTGAATTTTGTCCATTTCATCTCCTTAAAAGTAATCTCCTCCCGCTGCAATGCACTTATACCAATGAATTTCCAGTCATCATAGCACTTGGGAAAATCCTCCGTCGTGATGGCCATCAGAGCCTTCTTCGATTCAGCTTTTATATCCTCAATTGAGTCAAAACGGTGTCCTCGGAATGGTCATACGAATTAGCTGAATAGCGAGAGCGGCGGTTGTGGTACGATATTAGTTGAAAATGTGGCGAAATGGTCTCAAATAACCAATGTAGTATGAGATGATGCATTATCGCACTTCTTTGTTCAATATATTCACACATAATATAAATCGAAAAATTCACTTTTAGAGCCTCACAAAACGACGCGTATCTCAAATATTAATGAATATTTTGACGTGAAATTTAGTACTACGAACTTACAGAAAAACAAAATTGACCGTTTCGAAAAACACGCGACGCATTAAGAATTCACCTTTCAATTTTATCACAGTAGAATAATGATTTCAAACTGTTGTAAATGTCAACGCCGTCTATGAGCCGTAATTGAATTTACTTTTATAAGCGCAACAAAATAATTACGCTATAAGCTCTTTGAACAACCGGGAAGGTAAAAAATACTGAAAGACTTCATTAGAGCACGAGGTATTCACACTGTATTAATAGTCATTTCTAAAAAATTGTGCTCTTTAAAATTTTTCGAAACTTCAAACTTTAACGCACCTAGTAATCTTAACAAGAAGCTAAAACTGGTTGGATTTATGAAAATACTAACCTCACTTTATATTTTTTACTTTGAGAACCTAAAGTCGTTCGAATTGAATCGTATACATCTCTAGACAGAATATAATATAATGAAGATCAAGATAATGATGAACTAAAAATTTCTAAAAACTGTAGTGACTGACTTTTCCTTAAATTTCGCATTCATTTCAAAGTGTGAGCATTTGTAAATAACATATTTTTTGTGATATTTGACTTTAATAAATGGAAAGTAAGAATGGATTAATCGCATTGTATACATTTAGCATTCTTTCATATGTTTTAAATAAATATTATTAAAGCCTCTAAGAAGTGCTTTCGTTATAATTTAATTATTTGGTATTTGGACTTGAAATTTTCAGTAATAAATTATATTTTGTAAGTATTGTTTTTTGACCCCATATTCCTCCCGTGAACCGTGTGATGAACATAAATTCCCACCGTCTTGTGTAGGTAACTAGGTATGAGTGCTGTCATTATGGCCCCAATAAGCACTGGATGCGTCAGTTTAATGCACAATCGTAGAACCTTAAAAACCTGCCAATCCCTTTCATCGTTACGCGCAGGCCTTGTGGTTCTTTCACTGAAATGCCTGATGGATACCAAGTATTTTGTGTCAGATTTGTGGTAAAGCTGCGCATTCACAGAGAAAGTGAAAAACAGTTTCCATCTTCCTTTCTAGCCTGCATCTGCGACCAATATTGTTATAAGGCAGGCTCATGTTTAGCGCATACACTCCAAAAATTCCTTGTTATAATAGCTATAAGTCTATATGTACTACTTCTTGTTCATAATTCTAGTCTTGTAATACTTGGACCATATCTGCTTTGATATCTTCGAACTTGTTATTCATTACCGTCGGTGTTGAGTAATTTGTTCATAATGCGTATAAAGCTATATTTTGATTGTTCCAATTCGGGTTGGTATTAACTCCGTCTCGGATTTGTTTAAGGAGGCACCTAGCTTAGCCACGTATAGGCATTTCCGTTGCCGAAAATGTTCCTGTGACCGGGAAACCAAATTGTGGGCAAGTGGAGTTGACCTGCCGCAGCTTTTCTGCAATTGTTGACTACACTGAAATTAATCCATAGCGTCAATAGAGCCAGCAATGCCGCCACGTACGTATAAGTTAGTTATTCAATAGAACTCCACTGGCCTTCTCAATATCAAGTTCTTCCGCTTGAAAGATGCTGGTTGACTTTGGTAGCAGGATAGAGAGAGATGTCAAGATCATTAGAATGTCCCTCCAATATACCTACTCCGCAGTCCACCTAAGCGCCGTTGATATTGATAGAGGTAGTAAACTCCTTCACATCTACATCAAAAGTGACTGTTAAAATCTAACCTTGAAAAGGTTTACCATAATTCCTTTAACTTTAGAGTAGAACTTGCTGATACGTTTCGACCTGTAGACCTGTAGACCTGTACGGTTAATGCAGTGCCATATTAAGCGCACCAGTCGGACATGACTTAATAGTCTCTGTAATTTGGTATAACTTCCAAATGACTGTATTTATTTTAAGGCCTCCTAAGGTTACTCCTAAGTCTGTCTCTTATACACATCTAGATGTGTATAAGAGACAGGCCATATTAAGCGCACCAGTCGGACATGACTTAATAGTCTCTGTAATTTGGTATAACTTCCAAATGACTGTATTTATTTTAAGGCCTCCTAAGGTTACTCCTAAGTATTCTATTGCCAAGTGTGCCTTATTTATTCACTTTTCCATGTTAATATTCCAATTCAGTTTTAACAATTTCAACTTTATGTCATTGAGGACAGAGAGATTGATGCTTATTTGAAGACTTAAAAACCCTTTTTTGTTTTCTGTTACACTTTGTGACACCACAAAGTTTTTTTCGATGGATGTTGACGAAAGCCGTCTACTGATCGACAATTTCTGATATTTGAATATATCTGTTAAAAAGTCAAAAAAACATAGTTCGACCTAAAGTCGAGATTTTGAAAAACTTGTTGAATATTTTTATATTTGAATAATATATTGGGTAATTATCCAAAAAATGTAGGAATAAAACCAATATAATTATGAGTTGATATTTTAATGAAGTTCTGCTTTCTCCCTAATGGATAAGGCAAGAAAGCAAATATGTATGTCTGGTGGTGAACGAGGACAAGACGAAATATCTCCTGTCATCAAACAAACAGGCGTCGCACTCTCGGCTAGACACCCACGTCACTGCTTACAGTCATAATTTCATAGTCATGGATAATTTCATACATCTTGGAACTAGGATTAACACCAACAACAACTTCAGCCTCGAAGTGCAAAACGGAAATAACTCTTGCCAACAGGTGCTACTTCGAACTAAGCAGGCAACTGAGAAGTATAGACCTCTCGCGACGAATAAAAACAGAATTCTATAAATCACTCATTATTGCCATCCTGCTATATGGTGCATAGACATTAACGAGAAGACATTTGATGAGTCGACGTTACGAGTTTTCGAGAGAAAGGTTCTGCGGAATATTTATGGACGAAAACACTCCAGCTCTGAAAGTAGTCGACGCAATACCCGCTGGGGGAAGCAGAGGAGAAGGATAGTAATATTGGCCAATCGCATTGTTTTAATTACCAAATGAGTACATTTTATCATAAAAGTACCACAAATACGTACTCTTGCTTAGCTCTGTTCTATATTAATTGGCTTTAAGAATATAAGAAAACTCAAGTCTCATTATAGATAAAAAGCGCATAATCGTTGATGAACTCAAACCACAGAGCGAAACTTGGAAAACATTAATTTCCGAAGCATTGCTTTTGACTTGCAGCAGCCAAAAGATATGAAGCAAACATTAAGTCAAAGCAGACCGCTTAACCAAATCACGATAATTGAATTTACGGTCATTTCTGTGTGAATAACAGTTTGACAACAAATGTGAAGATAAAGTGAAAGGACACTCGGCATTAATTAAAATTCGTCGTATTCCAATGACATGGCTATTAGAATGAGCAGTGGTGCTTAAAATGTATATTTAATTTATATTTATATTTTGTTAATTTATGCTAGTTAGTGCAATCGGTGATTTCGACAGCGGAGTAACTTCTTAGGGAGAAAAAGACGTTTGCAAAAAAACAGATCAATATCTCAAACACTTAGGATCTAGCTCGCGTATATACCAGACCGACAGACGGACATGGCTATTCATCGGACGGACATCTATTCACGCAATATCTAATTTCTTTCAAAAATTTAAATTTTTACTAAATTATACGTTTCAGATGATATGACAGACATGAAATCTTCTGCTATATTTTAGTATTTATATATGCGTATCGATTCTAGTTCCGTTGCTTTTGCTTAACAGCCTTGCGCTGTGGTTATGCGTTGCCAGCCGTTTTTTTTTTAAGAGACATTTTATTTAATGGATCAATAAAGCAATGTACATTTACAGAGTTTAAAGTGCTTTTACTATATAACCCGCGATTTATTTTGGATTTTCTAGATCTCGTAGGCGATCCCCAGCAGGAACTCTGAAAAAATATGGTGGTGCTGAAGAGTTTTTGCTTAAAGCTTTCTCAAGTTCAAAAATGGAAAAAAAAATTATTTTTATAGATGAATACAAGTAGTGGTGGAAGGACTAGAGAAACTTGTGATTTTTGACAAAATATTGACCTTTCGAACAAAACAGTCATTCTGTGAAAAGAATTAGACTTCAGAGTGACATAAAAAATCAGAATCGTTATCAGAAATCTTATTACTTTTACCATTACTTGAAAAGTATCGAACGAATATTACCTGAAGAAGAAGAAGTTCAAGTGGAAAATTAATTGAAATTAAAAATTAATTTTTTGGAGATATTTTCCTGATCCTAAAGTTAAAAATTCTTGCAAATACGTTCATATATCCGGAAATATATTCCGGATCAGCTTAAAATTTTCAGAGCATATTTTCACATAAACATATAATATAATATATGTTAATAAAGACTGAATACTAGTATATGTAGAAAATTGTTTTTTTTTGTATGTTTTTTTTTTTTATTTACAAGTGGAACTGACCCCTTAAAGACACTATTTGTGTAAAGATTTATTTCGATGGTACATTGGTGCATGATTTACTCGTATATATTCTAAAGTAAAATTAAATTTAAATCCTTAGACACGTCACCTAGTGAGAAATATTTCATTCTGATTTTATTTTTATATTTCAACATACATATTAAACTAAGTAAATATGTTTGTATTGTTGTATATTTGATTTCTCTCTTCAGGTCCCTTAAGCGACATTTTTTCACTGTCAAGTATACTGGATTAATTGAATAATTCTCCACAAGGGTTTTTTTAAAGGAAATTTTGTAAAATTTGTAGTAGCTGTAGATGTTGCTGGTGCTGATGTTTAACTCGACTGCGTTTGCAGTCGGTGCTTGACTAAACAAACTCAGATGTTTCTGTCCGAAAGTAGGCTGAATCTCAAACCAAGAGTCCGTTGTAGCTGTAATAAAACTACGTGTAGTTGGAGCTTTGAAAAGTTTGTCCACAAAATTGTATAGTTTTGTCTGCGTGCCGAAGATACTGGCTTGATCAAATGTTTTCTAACGAAATAACTTATTCTAATCTGTTGTTGTAGCTGCTTATT